TGTTGTACCCATTAATGCCGAGCGCCAGGCAGGGACCAACAAGTACCATATTTTAACGTCTTTTGGTATGATGCGGTCAGGGATCGAACCCGCGACCTTCCGCTCTCCGGGCGGACGCTCTAACCACTACACCACGGAGGCGGTCAGTAAGATATTAGGCATGGTAGGCCTTGTAAAGTCCTAACAGTCAAGAACATTTCATGTTTTACTGGCAGTTGTTTGAAAACCTCCACCCACTTCTACATCTGTTTCTGCTCAATTCCAACTTTGTGCTTCATTAATAATATTGCAGTAGCTATAATCTCATAAACTTCAAAGACTGACATCTTCCATCCATTGTAACAGGGCTGGCCCTAAACAAAATTGTTTTATTAGCTATCCTTGTAGTCAGAACCTCGCATGAAAGCATATCTGTATTTTTCACATATATGTATTAGATGCAGAGATTTGATAGTAATGTACTTTAAGAATCAGTCCAGCAGTATATAGTGGTACTGAGTTGGGTTTAATGCTGATTTGAATAGTGTTCCATGTTGATGTGAGAGGAACCTGGATGTGATATGGTTCTCAGACATTTACCATTCCAGTGAAACCCACACACATCATGTGTAACAGTAAAAAGTTATAATATTTATAGCCAAGTGGAGAACTGAACTGCATTTGTAGGCAAGATGAGCAAATTGTCAATTTTCACAGTTTTATTTTTCAGTTCCGGTATGATGCAATATAATACATAAATAAATATACACATCACATCATAGAGGAAATGGTTTAAGGACAATGTGAGATTTAAACCCTTTTTCGTTGATCTTCTTAATGTTACTGGACATTAGATATAATCTTAGATATAATCTAATATACAATAAATAATAGAATGACAAAAAGTATGCAAAGATATAATATCAGTTTAATACCCCATATACCACTGAAAATTAATGAATGGTTAATGGTTAGAATGCATGCAACATGTGTATATATTTGCCTCTTATTAATTCTAGGATCTGCTTATCATTGACATGCTTTCCTAAAGTGCTAAATGTCTACATGTGGTAAATGTCACTTCTGTAACTGATATACCGTTAATACTAAATTGTTGTAAACTGAAATGGATTATGTAAGTAATAAATAACGTCACTGGAATGTACAAACTTCAAGCTGTAATACTCCAAGTTGCAATTTACATGCTATAAATCAGTGTCAATATCGTAAGGCTCTTAAATACATGTTTACTGAATTTATTATCTTTACACAATAATGTCTCGACGATTTGGGAGAAGGTACACAGGTTGTTTAAAGTCAAGTTGTGAAGAAGCTGTTGGTAGGAGACTGTAAGTGATGCTTCAGAGTTTCCCGGAGACATGTCATTTTAGAAGTACTTTATCAATTTAACGTAGCTCACAGATTTGTTGAAGGAGAGTGTTAATATCTTTATATTACATCTTTTTCTCCAGCTGAATCTTACAGCTATGGCAATACTTGTCCTGCTCCTTTGTCTGAAAGTTTACGTGAATGTGAACGGAGGTACTGCTATTGGAATGGCTAAATCAAGCTGTATATCATCTTTAGAGCTCAAATTTACAGTGAATAGTGTTCATTTTATTAACAGTTAAAGAACATACACACTCATAAAATTCACATTAAATATTTCATTTTAAGTCACTGCCTGATTAAATCATTTTAATCATCCAATTCTGAGTGCTTCTTACACTAGGTACACTGATATAAGCAGTTTGTAGGAATGTATTACTGAAAGATATCTGATAAGTTTCACTGGGATCAAGAAAAATAGTTCTTACACAAACAATTTACAGTCAATGGGAGACAACTCTGACCTGCCCTCTGAGTCCAGGTGGTATCCATTGAAAAGTTGACACTTAATATATATCATTGTTGTCAAAACATGCATGTTGTTTCACATGACAACGCAGCATTGTTATCTGGTGAGGGAAGATTTTAAAAATGTAATTGGACCTAACCAAGGGTAAACGAACTTGTTATAGATAAAAACAGTAAATTTGAATGTAAAGAGTGCTTAATGTTAGTTTAAAATGCTGTACATTTCTTTCAAGTCACATATTAAGAGGATTACATCGATCAAATGAAACACTTTCACCATTATGCTGTCAGAAGAAAAATATTTTGAATAACTAAGAATTTGTACAATTAATAACTGCACCCATCTGGTGTTACATGTTAATAATATCTAACTTGTTAATAGAACTTTGCATACAATTATTTATATATGTTCCCATCAATTTATCTTTTTGAGCATACTGCCTATTATTGTATTGTGTTGTGATGTTTTTCCTTTAAAAATTGGGGCGGTGGGGTAGCCTAGTGGTTAAAGCATTGGCTCGTCACGCCGAAGACCCGGGTTCGATTCCCCACATGGGCACAATGTGAGAAGCCCATTTCTGGTGTCCCCCGCCGTGATATTGCTGAAATATTGCTAAAAGTGGCGTAAAACTAAACTCAGGCAGTCAGTCTTTAAAAATTATGTATCTAAGAATATAAAGTTTCCATGAGCCAGAATAATGCTCAAGTCACATCAAGAGACAATGACAATATTTAAAAAAAAAAAGAATTTATTTCAGTATAATAACTAATATATTATTTGGTATAGTTAATGGAATTGCATTGTTATTATATTAAGTGTTTAATGTATAGAAACTATGACCATCATAGCCATATTGCAGCACCAAAGTCTGGCATTTCCATAGACACATGTGGCTGGCTTGGAGACACAAGGGTATTTATTTGTACAAGACCTACATGGTTTCTCACTGTCCCTGGGTGTCTACAGTGCATATTACATTAGGTGCATTTGGTTAGGATGATGAGAAAACTTGGAGAACTTCAGTGCATGTTCTGACCCTTGGTTCAAATGTTAGGTTCATGTAATTGAACATATTAATTTAAATAACATTTGGTATTTATCCATCATGTTGTTGAAAATATTACTCTTCATTTATTAAAGAGATCAATTTTGTGTGAGTTTGGTATGATTGAAGTCCATACAATTCAGTTTGATTTGAAGCATTTGTTTGGCATTCAGTCTAACTGCTGTCAACTAATTTCAAATCAGATCAGCAGAGAAGGTGTGGATTTTAATAATGAAGTGCCTTGATGATATTTGTTTGGATATTAGAGATAGAACTCTGTTCAACTTTGACATTGTTTCTTGTGTCTTAATAATGCATGCACATGAAATGTTGGCCCTGACTAGGGAATGGCAAGTTGTTGACAGTATTTGAGGAGTTTCAGCTTCACAGCAGATCTCCAGCTATATACTACATTGCTTTGTTAAATAGTCCCCTTGCACAATGCTGACAAACATGGGCCTTTGCATTAGAGGATCACTTGTGGGGTGTTAAATTATGGACTTAAATTTATGCCCCGATGCCTATCTTTACCATTATTCAAATTCCTGACAGTTATAAAGCAACTTGTAATTGCCTTTTTGGAAAAAAAAAACCCTAAATATTTTAGTAAGAAAGCTGTCTCCATTTTTCATCGCTGACCCTTAATTTCTCTATCACATTTTAAATCTTAGATCAGCAAATACTTTTTGCAACAATGGCGTTTAACAATATTTACAGGAACAAGTGTGATACTTTCAACAATATACGACTGCTTGGATGTGGTTATTGAGTGGAAACAATTACATTTATGTTTAGAATCTTTCTTTGAAGTGATCCAATTTCAAACAATGATAATTTGCAAAGCATGAAGGCATTGTGTTCAGGGAAAGATGTTAAAAGATATTTTTAACCTTTTGTGGCAGAAAAATGCTTATATTGCTTTTTCAGCTTTCAAAACACTGAACCAAGCTTTCATAGAGGTTTTGACAGTTGAACAGAATTTCTTTGGAAAAGGTTGTAAATGATCCACAAAACCATTGTATAATTTGTTTGAAATATTTCAAACTTTCATATACACATATAAATATATTACTACAAGCTCGTAATGTTGAAATAGACTAGTGGTTAAAGACCCAAGTTCAATTCCCCACATGGTTACAATATTTAGAGCTAATTTCTGGTGTCCCCTGCCATGATAGCGTTAGAATAGTGTTAAAAGTGGTGTAAAACGATAGTCACCCACTCACTCACTCACTCACCAAATAGCAGTGATAAATCCATGTACACATATGTGTCAGCACAGTGAACATTTACCAAAGCTTTAATTCAAAAAGTCAAGTATGATGATAAATAAAACTGTACAGTGTTTGCAGACTAAACATCACGGCAGTCATCAAAGAAGGCAAATCAGAAATTGTGAAGTATGGTCAAAGGGGCATAACTCTTGTCGACAACCATCTTGCAAAACTCATGGAGAATTTGTACTGACAATTTCCGGATCATTAATAATGTATTTTAACTTGTAGTTAACCTGACACACATGACCAAATCTTTATATACTATTTAAATGTACAAGTTTAGTTATCCTTTTCATGATCATGTTAAAAAGCCCAATACATTTCAGTGAATACAATATGTTTCTCGAAATACAAAATACTTACTGTCCAAAATATCAGTGGCATGATAACTCATTTTATTTATCTGGGTTCAATTTGTAACTGAAAATCATGCAGTGTAATTCAGTTATTTTTCTTCTTTTTTTATGTAAATGTTAAAACATATCTCACTCCTCTGCTTCTGGAGGGTATGGGCAGTGATTTCAGACTCCGCAAATAATTATGTCGTTGGCACATGGACTGAAAAGCATTTTATTTCCATGCTTAAGAAAAGGCAATTACTGCGATTGAGTTGTCACTTTTACTGACTTCTTTGAAACATGTCACCGTATAAATTTATATAATCCCAGTTGCCTTGATCAATACTATTGATGTCATTGGATTGTCCAGTTCAGACTAAATTATTTACAGACTGTCATATGACTGGAATATTGCTGAGTGGGGCATTAAACAAAAAGACCTCATTGTCAAAGGAACAAGGTGATATTGTATCTGTGACAATAATGTGATGTTCTTGTTGCAGATTTTGGCCTTAGTAACACCTTTGCTAAAGACGAGCTTATGAAGACCCACTGTGGCTCACCTGAATATGCTGCCCCTGAACTGTTCAACCCCAAGGAATCCTATGGGCCAGGGATTGATATCTGGAGCATGTGAGTTTCTCCAGTAAATCTGAAGAAATACACTGAAGAACATATATGTAGCCAAATCCTTGACAGTACATGTTTGCGTTGCTAATAAATCATGACTGACATATTGGCCAATCTTGTAAATGTAGGTTTTAATTTGGCAATCATCAGTGTCTATGTACACAATAGGCAGGAAAGATCAGTACTTGATGTTTTTGTCTTTACATTTCAAAACGAAAATCATATTTGTTTTTAAGGTATTTCACAAATGTGTTTAGAAACAAATTGTTTGATAACCCTTTATTAGTAACATGTATACTACTCACCATTTCATAGGGATACAGAGATATGTTATGTTGTGACAAGGCATGACAACAACGTATTGAACAGCGTAATATGTTTAATCAACTTGAAATGAAGCACACATTCTTCACTTCCATGGCAGTATCAGATACTATTCGTACCACAACATATCAGAGCAATCATTCACATTCAGACAATTGTGTTCACTCCTAATCACTGAAAAATTGCTTAGTATATACAAGAAGAGGTATGGGAGTTTTATGTTTTCATTCACAATAAAGACATTATAATACCTTCCCAAACTTTTAATTATTGTTTTTTTAATTGATGTGATTATATATTTTGTGACATGTTTCAGGGGCATCATTATGTACGCCATGATGGTCGGGAAGCTCCCATTCCAAACTCCTTACACTGATGAGTATCGCAGAGTTAAGCTTCTCCAGCAGATTGAGAAAGGTCTTGGAACGGAGCATTATAAGGAGATGGCACATTTGTCACAAGGTAGGTCAGAAGTTCTCTCACTGGCTACATCCACTGGTGCAGTAAGGAAGTTGCTTTATATCGGTGGCCTGCATGAATACAGTGTGAAGTGTGTTCTGGATAGGCAGACAGACAGATAGTTTTATTCAGTGAAAGGCCACTGGCCCATAATACAGACAGATGCACGGTCACACATCACATGAATGGTACATATAGAGTTATAAACAAGCTCTGCTCTTAATTCTAATTTGTACTTTATATAAAAATAGACTAACTTTCTTAATCACATCAACCTTGGTAGATTGCATAATATTTATAAAGTTGTTAATTGTAGGAGGTTGACTAAAATATTACACAATATATTTATCTTGAACATCAGAAAAACATTCACAGATATACAAAAAATGCCACTCATCTTCAACAACATTAATACCTTTTGATTTAAATAAAATAAAAAATCTTTCATTAGAAGCAATATTTTCATATCTCCCAGTCTCTATTGCTAAGTTAAATTTTCCACATCTGAATTTTGAAAGGGCAGATCTCAAATTTAAACAAATGCTACAATTTAAGTATTTTTCTACTTCAAGAAATTGAGGCAGATATATTACAAGACTTTTATACTATAGGATAGGACACAATATATATAGGACTGTTTATACTTTATCGAGTTTTCATCACAAGAAATTCCAATGATAGAACAAGTTGATTCTGGATAGGAGACACTATATATAGGAAGTGGGTATATAGGAATGGATGCTCTCCTGTCCACCGTTTTTTATACTTTATCATCAGTTTATCATCATTGAGTTTGTACTTTATCCAGTTTTCATCACAAGAAATTTCTTTGAATCTCTGGAACAAGTCCTAGGCAGCAGTCCTATCATCCTGTCATTCCTATCATCAGTCCTATGCCTGTTATCATCATTCCTATCATCAGTCCTATGCCTGTTATCATAATTCCTATCTTCCGTCCTATCCCTGTTATCATCATATCCTATCATCAGTCCTATGCTTTTATCATCATTCCTATCATCAGTGCCTGTTATGCCTGTTATCATCATTCCTATCATCAGCCCTATGCCTGTTATCATCATTCCTATCATCAGTCCTATGCCTGTTATCATAATTCCTATCATCAGTCCTATGCCTGTTATCATCATTCCTATCATCAGTCCTATGCTTGTTATCGTCATTCCTATCATCAGCCCTATGCCTGTTATCATTCCTATCGTCAACCCTATGCCTGTTATCATCATTCCTATCATCAGCCCTATGCCTGTTATCATTCCTATCATCAGCCCTATGCTTGTTATCATCATTCCTATCATCAGCCCTATGCCTGTTATCATCATTCCTATCATCAGCCCTATGCCTGTTATCATCATTCCTATCATCAGCCCTATGCCTGTTATCATCATTCCTATCATCAGCCCTATGCCTGTTATCATCATTCCTATCATCAGCCCTATGCTCGTTATCATCATTCCTATCATCAGCCCTATGCTCGTTATCATCATTCCTATCATCAGCCCTATGCCTGTTATCATCATTCCTATCATCAGTCCTATGTGTGTTATCATAATTACAAATCATAAGTACAATTTACAATCCATGTTTAAAATGATGTTCCATGTTTCTAGATGCTCAAGATATTCTCAGCAAAATGATTGAGCCGAAGCCTGCCAACCGTCTTCCACTGATGGACATAGAAATTCATCCCTGGCTCACCACCTCCTCCAAGATGCCGTTTTTCCCCTTCACAAATCTGCCACGAGATCGCAATATGAAATCTCAGGTAATTACCTTTGTGTCATATCTGTTGGCATTGAGCATAGTCCCTGCTTGTAATGCATTGGTAGAATGTAGAGATATTCTGACAAAAATGCTTATAGAATTTTGTTGAAGGTGCACATAATGGATAAATTTCCATTGCAAAAGTCAAACTGGATTCATGATTTTGTTGAAAACATAACTCCAACAGATATATTTTTAATTGTTAAAGTTTTAATAGCAAAATATGAGTGGGAGTATACAAGATAAGTGTCTTGGAGTAATTCATTGAATGTGAGGACACATACAACTACAGTAAGATTGTTTACTGGTTTTGCCATCTACTACAGTCTGGGTCATCGAAGGAGAAACATTAGTAGCTAGATGTGCCAGAAATTGTTACCTTGAATCTCAGGTTTGCGCCAATCATGTTCTCGGTTTGTAGGCGCCATACACAATCACATTGGTTTTACCAAAGAGGCTTACTTCATCAAGACTAAACTGATAAACCTTTTGATATTAAAGTGGTTTTACATTCACTAACTTACTTCTACAGAGACACAGGTGACAGTCTCTGCTATTTACTAGAAATACTTTCAAAACATTTCCTCCTCTATATAATAACATTTCAAACTACAACTGTTTCCGACCCTTTTCTCTCCTATTTCAACAACTCCTACTTCTCCTCATGTTGGCTAGCTGTATACTGCTCTTCATACCACAAAATCTTCTCCTCCTCGTGTGCTCTTCATTCCTCATCTTACTGTCCCTCTTACTCTGCACTTCTCCTTCTATGCCCCTTCTGCCCTTCCTTCTAACATTACCTCCTGTCTCCATTCCTATTCCTTCTTCTAACATAACATTATCAACTTCTTCTTCTTCCTCTTCTCCTATACTTCGTTTTCTTCTTCTATGTCCCTTTTATTCTTCCTTATAACATGACAAAGTCTATTCCTTTTTTCCACTTCTAACATAACATTATCCTTTTCCAGAGTTAACACCAAAACAAACTAATCACCACTATTGCTACTTCTGTTACTGTAACTTTTAACAATTTCATCTCCTATTTCCACGGAACTCCTTTAACTTTCTGATGTGTTACATTCCCAAATCAACTTCCATATGAGCATTTTTGTCAGAATGTCATGAAAACCTCTGCTATTGTAGCTATGTTACTTTCATCTATTGTAGGCCCGTGACTTGTTGACTGATCCGCATGTGCTTGTTAGCATTAGAATGTATTATGTTATTAGCATGAAGGATGCAAGATTTTAGACATGCATCCTAAGTTACTGCATCTAGTTCTTTACAGTTTGCTTCAATTTTAATTTATAAAGTGAATTTGAGTTTGACATGATACAAAGCCATGGAAAGAAATGATAATTTTTTAATTACCTCAATTTTAATATACAATTCATCATATAAATCTGTTTGAATTTGGGAAAATATAAAGAGCAAATATATGATAATGAATTTATCTAGTATATGATATGTGTGCAATGAAATATTATTCAGCAAATTCACGAACAGTTTTGTTATGGAATTGCATGGTAGATAAAACCTTTTGTCACAAATCTTCACAACAATGAACTGTTCACCAAATTATCTCCCTTAGATGATGAAATGTCGATAAATTGTAATGTGGAGTGCTCTTAATAAATGCTAGAACAAAAGATACATCTAGTTCAAACCGTTTATCTAGCTTGCACTGTTTCCTGGCTCAGGTGGTGGTGTGTTTGTGAAATTTACTTGGCTAAATGTGCGTCAGTTGTATTGATAACCGTACAATAGAACCATGTGTTTGTGAAATGTACGTGTCATGTTATTGTAAAACTGTGTGTGATTGAAACAGCTGATTGTGTGTGGACATGAGCTGCTTGCAGTGATGTGTTTTTCTTCTTTTAACTTTTTTTGATGGATTTTTATCTTTTGAAATTTTTTAGATTTCTTGGCCATTTTATTCCCCCAAACCTTGCTTGGACATGAAGTTTGATACACTCTTTGCAAACAATTTTATCATGATATTTTCAAATTTATCATTCTTAGGACATGGTCATTTTTGCATCATGAATTGGTTTTCATTTAAATCAATTTCACACTTTTTGCATACTTCTTAATTTTGGACTGTGTGGATAGATCAAGTTGAGGTGTGTGGATATAGTAATATTTGTACATCTACTTGGACATTTTTTATTGTCATGTAAAGCATTTTCTAGAGAAAAACCTTCACAAATGAAATATGTTATGTAAAAATATTTTTAGATTTCTTTTGTTAATGCAATTTTCGGAGAACTGAGTTTGAAACTGAAATTTGTAATTGCCTACCGTACATCCACTGATGTCTTTGTTTTAATCAGTCTTTGAGTACACATGATAATAACAGGAATTTATAAACATGTAAAGTTTAGGCATGAATATGCAAGTGCAAGTTGACAATGTAAAATTCTTTTAACAAAGTAAAAGTCAACATAGGCTACAGAAATTTTTAATAATTCTTATAATAAAACTGGCAATGACCGTGTGTTTTTAATAATGTTTTTTATGTAATAAGATAGCTGGAATCCTTAGAAATCCATGCCTTTTCCATTGAGGGACTGTTAATGTTTTGAAAATGTCTGATGATCATCAATGAGTTAGAATTCTTAAATTGACCTTCAGAGTTGGAATTCTGGGTAACCCTGTCCAGAGGACATGATGATCTGTTTTGTTTGACCCAATGGAAAAGGTCTGTTTTGTTAGGGATTCATAATCCATAATCCTTTAATCCAGTGATAATCCACACAGTCATCACACATTTTGCATGCTGTCTCTGATATTTGTACTGAACACAACATTGTTTGCAATCTGTAATTTCAGTGCTAATTTCAACAAATTGCTTGCACTTAATGATGTCATGAAGTTGAAACGTACTTCAAATAACCGAAACATTTCTGGTCCTATTTGTACATGAATTGTGCAAATTGATGTTGTCATGGTATGCGCCCTTTATTCTGTTTGCTTATAGTCAAGTATTTGTCATTATCATGCTAATTTTTGTCAAACATTGAAAATTTCAGCCATTTAAGATATATTGCAAATTTGTGTAAATCCACAACCAGTAAGATGTTATAACTTTCCTACAGCATGCATCAGCAATAATTTTGCAGTATTTCATGCATAATTGTTTATTTTTTAGCAAATGATGATAAAATATATTGATTGAAATAAATATATTGGGAAAGAAATTATTGATTTTTGTAACATTGACATTTGAATTCGTTGATATAAAATTTATGTAATTGAAAATGTTGATAAAAGATTAACAACTGCGCCCCCTTTTGTCAGGAATCGGTAGCTAGTGTTGATGAGGAGGAGGTAACTCCGGGGTGTCTCTCATTGACTCCTGTTTTTGTATTGTTGCAGCACTCTCTCACGCTCTCTCAGATATTGAGTTCAAACCCCGCTTTTGACTAGAACACAAAAAAGTGGCCATGTCCTTTTTATTTTCCAAAATGAGAAAAACGCTAGAAAATGCTAGCAATAGAATCCTCATCATTTGTAGAACATTTACAAACTTGTGTTTTGTTTCTTTTTGTCAAGTTTAGATATACAATTTTGTGTTTTCTATAGATATTAGCAATGTCATTGTTAGATGCAATGTTGTCATAGATTTGTTATAGAATGTATGACATAGATTGCTGCCAAAAAATTGTACGTGTATATCATTGAAAGTAAGAATAAAAGCAGCATTGATGTTTATCATTGTTTTTTAACAAAAATGATACACAAAATGTCAAAATACTGTTTCAGAAAAAATCTGTGTCAAAGGTCGCTGATATTCTTTGATTTCTGGAGAGTGTGAATTCTTTGTTTCTATGGAAACATATATATATTTTCCCCTCACTATTACCATTGGACGTGCCTTTGACGTTTACTGTTGCATCATGGGACCAGCATGATTGAACTGACTTATTGAACTGTGTACATATGTAGTTCTACTTCTGATATGCTTTTAGGCTTATGGAATGGATAGTGTTAAAGCTGCCTTCAGATATCGTGGGAATGTTAGAAAACTATCAAAAATCAGATTCGCATGTATTTCGTGTGAAAACATTACTTCATATTTAAAACTGAAAGAACAAGACTATACTGATTTTAAATTTGATTAAACTGAATAGGAACTAAGGCAGTAATGAAAAATGTGAATTTTCTGTTTAAGTTTAAGTGATTTAACTGTACATGACCTTAGATTTCATATAATGAATCTGATTTTTGTTATGTATCATGACTGAATTTTTAGCATAGGTGGAAGGAATGATCATTGTTCAAGCTGTTTCATGTTTGGTGGATTATCCTTGTTTAAAACAGGTAGAAATATTCCGCTGTAAAATTCTTTCATGGAACAATTCACTTGAAGTACTGTAGTGAATGAACAAGATATTGTGTTCATCAATGTGAAGGCTTTTTGAAGTTTTTGTTTTGGCAAATTATGTCACATACACATAGAATATTTTTGTTTCCTCTTTGGACACTGAATGCCTCACTCATAGATAAAACTACACAACCATGATATATCTCATGGCACCTAATGCTTGCAATCAACATATATAAATTATATTTGCACCAATAAAGTTTCAAAGCATGATTTAAATTAAATAATATATATTTTAGTAGCACAAATTTTGTTCACATGTAAAAGTTAGAAGTTACCGAATTAGATTTTGAAAGAATTTTACAATATGTAAATTAATATTTTCAAATACATTTTTGCTCTAATGATATTTCGAATGGTTCTCATCAAATCTCTTTTCTTGAACTTCCTAAGTACAACTGGATTGATTCAGAAAGTAAAGTTCCCAAAATGGCTATTTGAGAAATGAATGGATGGCTTTAATGAAATATATGTTAGCTGTCAGTTGATGCATTATCAGATATATAAATATCAAAATAACACATATTGTGAAGTTTTATGAATAATTATTGAGAATATGAAAATGTTTATGTATACATACCTAGTTAGATGATTTGACCCAAAATATTTTTTAAAATTTTACTGGCACAGTTGATACATATTTGTAACTTGAGTAGCAAATTTGGGGAACTTTCAAACTTGTTGTTAAGGAATGTATGTAACATGAGGAATGATTGGCGTGTCGTAATGTTATTGTTACCGTGTTGTCGTGTGTTGTCAACGTCATTGTATTGTCATGTCTCAACATGATGTAAAAATGACCATGTCATAAAAAGAAAACAGAAAACAAATCTCATTATTAAATAATAATATTTTTAATCAGATAATGTTTGTCATCACCTTCAATCTATGAAACTGTGTTATTTACTACTTATAAATATGTTGATATGTGATTATATTATTAGTATTTATCAATGGAGGACTTTGAATATGATATTTTAGATAATGTTTAAGTTTTGTTCACTTTGACACTAATATGATATATCAATCTATTAATGTCTTTTATTGTCTTGCATATTTCATAAACTTGTCTATTTCAGATGAAATGTACAGGCTCTTATATCACAGCATGATTTACTCTTCTTTCTCAAAATTATTCATATCTCTGTGTGAAGTACAAACATTTCATTAACAACCACAATTTTCTTTCAGGTTGAAGGAAATTTTGTCAATTTCTGCACTTTTTATAATGTAACACATATTTGCTTTATTAAGGTTTGAATGGTAAGACATTTATCCTTTTGAAATATGTATTTATATGTGTGTAAATGTATGCATGTCAATATAACTGGCCATTGATATCTTGTTAATTTCAATCACATTTCTTTCTAGGTGATTGATGAGTTATGCTCTACACTGAACGTCAAACGAGAACAGGTGGAGAAGACTGTTCATGAGAGCCGTTCGGATGAAATGTCAGCCATGTTCAATATGCTTCTCCACAGAAAACGTGTAGCACAAGGTTAGTGAGCTGGGCAGACATTTAAACATCCTAGTGAAGAATTATGTTATTGTCACTGGAAAGATAAATCAACTCTTGCAGATACAGCAGTTACGTATCAAAATGCAATAGTCTTGAAAGAGACATATTCACACCTGCCTGTAAGAATAATCATACTGACTTACCTGTAAAAGTAATCATACTGATCTACCTGTAAAAATAATCATACTGATCTACCTGTAAAAGTAATCATACTGGCTTACCTGTAAAAGTAATCATACTGATCTACCTGTAAAAATAATCATACTGATCTACCTGTAAAAGTAATCATACTGATCTACCTGTAAAAGTAATCATATTGATCTACCTGTAAAGTAATCATACTGATCTACCTGTAAAAGTAATCATACTGACTTACCTGTAAAAGTAATCATACTGATCTACCTGTAAAAGTCATCATACTGATCTACCTGTAAAAGTAATCATACTAAAAAGTAATCATACTGATCTACCTGTAAAAGTAATCATACTGACCTTCCAGAACGAGTAAAAAATCATAATGATCTACCTGTTCGAGCAATCCAAACAACCTACCCGTGAATGTAATAACTGTTAACTACCTTATTAGATTAATTCCAACAAGCGTCCTGTAAGAGTAAGCAGATTACCTGACGGAGCAATCACAATGACTGACCTGTGGTACTTTTTAATGTATTTTTGACAATGAAAACTAAACAATACAGCTATTTTTCCATTTTCCAATGCTAAAAGCAATATGATTGTATCCACCTTTGTTTCCTGTAGAATGCAGTAATATTGGCCATTTGACTTTTAGTTTAATATGTGCATACATTTTTAAATGAATCATATTTAGAGGTGAAAAAATGATTTGAATACCTGGTGTCCTGACTGATTTTCTGTGATGTCTTTTACACCAGTGGAATCTTTATCTACAGATTCTGAGTTAATATTGACATGTTATACACATACATTTCCACAGATTATTGATGACATTGACATGCCTCTACAGATTGTGGGTGAATATTGACATGCTATACACATACATTTCCATAAGGTTATTGATGACATTGACATGTCTCTACAGATTATGGGTTAATATTGACATGCTATACACATACATTTCTACAGATTATTGATGACATTGACATGTCTCTACAGATTATGGGTTAATATTGACATGCTTTACACATACATTTCCACAGATTATTGATGACATTGACATGTCTCTACAGATTATGGGTGAATATTGACATGTTATACACATACATTTCCACAGATTATTGATGACATTGACATGTTTCTACAGATTATGGGTGAATATTGACATGCTATACACATACATATTCACAGATTATCGATGGCATTGACATGTTTCTACAGATTGTGGGTGAATATTGACATGTTATACACTTACATTTTCACAGATTATTGATGACATTGACATGTCTCTACAGATTGTGGGTGAATATTGACATATTATAGACATGTTTCTACAGATTGTGGGTGAATATTGACATGTTATACACTTACATTTTCACAGATTATTGATGACATTGACATGTCTCTACAGATTATGGGTTAATATTGACATGCTATACACATACATTTCCACAGATTATTGATGACATTGACATGTTTCTACAGATTATGGGTTAATATTGACATATTATACACATACATTTCTACAGATTATTGATGACATTGACATGTTTCTACAGATTATGGAGTGAATATTGACATACTTTACACATACATTTTTGTTTATTTACATTGACATTATTATGGGTTGACATATTAATTATTGAGCATTGACATGTCTCTACAGATTAAGGTGAATATACATGAAGGACACAATTTCACAGATTATTGATGACATTTTCCACCTACAGATTGTGGGTGAATATTGACATGTTATACACATACATTTCTTACAATGATTATTATTGACATTGACTGTCATACTAAATATTTACAATTTCAAGGTTTATTTGGCTTGATCATACACTAAAATGTGAACCCCCAAGAAGAGCCAAATCGCAAACATCGGTCCAAGTCAGCCGGAGGTCTAAAAGCAATATGATTGTATCCACCTTTAGTTTCACTGTAGTCCCTCACTGTTTTTAATCATGTACACTTGTAATATTGTTGGATATTTAGACTTGCTAAAAAGCAATATGATTGTATCCACCTTTGTTTCCTGTAGAATGCAGTAATATTGGCCATTTGACTTGTAGTTTAATATGTACATACATTTTAAATGAAGATCATATTTAGAGGTGAAAGAATGATTTGAATACCTGGTGTCATGACTGATTTTCTGTGATGAATTTATATGTTTTTTCACTGCTGTTATATGTCTTTTACACCAGTGGAATCTGTTTCTACAGATTATGGGTGAATATTGACATGTTATACACATACATTTCCACAGATTATTGATGACATTGACATGTCTCTACAGATTATGGGTGAATATTGACATGTTATACACATACATTTCCACAGATTATTGATGACATTGACATGTTTCTACAGATTATGGGTTAATATTGACATGCTATGCACATACATTTCTACAGATTATTGATGACATTGACATGTCTCTACAGATTATGGGTTAATATTGACATGCTATACACATACATTTCCACAGATTATTGATGACATTGACATGTCTCTACAGATTATGGGTGAATATTGACATGTTATACACATACATTTCCACAGATTATTGATGACATTGACATGTTTCTACAGATTATGGGTGAATATTGACATGCTATACACATACATATTCACAGATTATCGATGGCATTGACATGTTTCTACAGATTGTGGGTGAATATTGACATGTTATACACTTACATTTTCACAGATTATTGATGACATTGACATGTCTCTACAGATTGTGGGTGAATATTGACATGTTATACACATACATTTCCACAGATTATTGATGACATTGACATGTCTCTACAGATTGTGGGTGAATATTGACATGTTATACACATACATATTCACAGATTATCGATGGCATTGACATGTTTCTACAGATTGTGGGTGAATATTGACATGTTATACACTTACATTTTCACAGATTATTGATGACATTGACATGTCTCTACAGATTATGGGTTAATATTGACATGCTATACACATACATTTCCACAGATTATTGATGACATTGACATGTCCCTACAGATTATGGGTTAATATTGACATGCTATACACATACATTTCTACAGATTATTGATGACATTGACATGTCTCTACAGATTATGGGTGAATATTGACATGCTTTACACATACATTTCCACAGATTATTGATGACATTGACATGTCTCTACAGATTATGGGTTAATATTGACATGTTATACACATACATTTCCACAGATTATTGATGACATTGACATGTCTCTACAGATTATGGGTGAATATTGACATGTCATACACATACATTTCTACAGATTATTGATGACATTGACATGTCTCTACAGATTGTGGGTGAATATTGACATGCTATACACATACATTTCTACAGATTATTGATGACATTGACATGTCATATTTACTATGGTGTTAATATTTACCATTTCAGGTTTATTTGACGTTGATCATACACTAAAATGTGAACCCCCCAGAAAGCCAAATCGCAAACATCGGTCCAAGTCAGCCGGGAGGTCTGAGAAGGACAAGGAGAAGGCCAAGGAGAAGTCGAAAGGTGAAGGCAAGTGGGAGTACTCGCTACATCCACTGTCACACTTAGTTTCACTGATAGTCCTCACTGTTTTAGTTCATCATGTACACTTGTATAACCTTGATTCGTGGATATAAGGCAAGTGGGAGTACTCGCTACATCCACTGTCACGCTTAGTTTCACTGATAGTCCTCACTGTTTTAGTTCATCGTACACTTGTATAACCTTGATTCGTGGATATAAGGCAAGTGGGAGTACTCGCTACATCCACTGTCACGCTTAGTTTCACGGACAGTCCTCACTGTTTTAGTTCATCGTGTACACTTGTATAACCTTGATTCGTGGATATAAGGGAAGTACGGCGAAAGTCATATTCTAAATGCACGATTTCGTTTAGTATACTAACTGATTATTTTATTCATTGATTCAGCAAATTGAAAATGCCTAATATTCCACTTGTGAATGAAATATTTGTTTACCGAAGTCATTTGCAATCATCACCCATTTGTGTGCCTACAAAATGTGACGCCACTTTGTTTCATGTATTATGAAGTTGGTTACTTGTTATCACTATGTACAACAGCCCATTGCAGTAAGTATTAACACCTAGGAAAGCAGAAGACGCGATGTGAGAAGGTTGGTGCTATCAGTATCTTTTTTACTTGACATTTTGTAAAAATAAAATTTGATATTGGTGACATTAATGATCTTGGGCCATTTATCTTGGTGTTGGACAATTAGATTTAGTGTATTTACGTGTAATGCAGAGATTCGGAACATATTTGTCAGCGAGGCGTGTCATTGTGTGTACATCAAAAGTACCGCTTTACGAGACTTTAATTTACGAGATAGCATGATAATTACTGCAATCCACGAATCAAGGTTATCCATGAATTTAGGTTACGACTGATGAATGACAGAAATGTACCTAGGTTGAGCAAAAGTGTTTCCTTGGCAAACTTGTGATGTGCCAAACCATGATAATATACATATGGCTGTTTTAAGCTTTTGGTACTTACTTTGTAAATTTTATAAAATGCCATTTGAAATAGACACATCATGCGAAATGTTATAAGTAATTCAGAAAATTTAACAGTACTATGTGTTAATGGTCTACAGAGAACAGATTAGATTCATATCTGTGTCATTATTTCAGCAAAGGAACATTTCTGTGTCATTTTTTCAGCAAAGGTACATTCTGTGTCATTATTTCAGCAAAGGTACATTTCTGTGTCATGATTTCAGCAAGGATACAATCCTGTTTCATGAATTCAGCAGGGGTACATTTCTTTGTCATGATTTTGTGTACCAGTATTCTCACCTACACTTTGATTATGATATAACTAGCACCAGGGGCACATATAGGCTTCACACCTTATGTAACGAGGGCACCTGGCACTGAATCAATAAGCAGTCTTAGAGCTATGGCCATAGCAAATCAAGTTATGTTGTCATAGTGCTTTCTTCATGCTCCATAACTCGCAGACTCTTTGGTATGAAAAAGCATGATATCATATTGGTTTGTTTAATATTCTTGAAATTTTGGTTTGGCAGATCTGCGAAACAAATAATTTATAAGAGAATACAATTTCCCTAATGTATCACCACACAGAATAATTGAAGATCAGGCTGCTTATGTGTGGAACAAGGTCATTTTCACTCCTTGTCATTCTATCGGTCATTCTTAATCCAGACAGTACTGTTCTGGTATGGTTCCCATGAACAGATCATACGAGTAATGTCCCTATATACATATGGTACATTGATTGTCCCTAAAACATCTCCAGATGAAAAATGATTAGGGACTATTTTTCCAATGCCATATAAAGTCTCGTTTTTGAGAACTCTACAGGTTTGGGAGTAATGACATTTCACTGAGGGGCGGTTGGGTAGCCTAGTGGTTAAAGCGTTGGCTCGTCACGCCGAAGACCCGTGTTCAAATCCCCACATGGGTACAATGTGTAAAGCCCATTTCTGGTGTCCCCCGCCGTGATGTTGCTGGAATATTGCTAAAAGTGCCGTAAAACCAAACTCAGTCATTCAGTCAGTCAGTTATCAAAAAGATTTGTTTCAAGCAAGGAGTAAAACTTTCTACTTCATCTTTCACTAGATCATATTGCATTTTTCAGTGTGAATGATGGTTAAAATATGTTTGTATGTTGTCTATGAATGTGCCATTTTGCCATTGTATCTTCATGCATCATCATTCATCTCAATGTTTTTTACGTTTCTTATTTCATTTTTCGTACAGTCCCCCCATCTCTGGTTTTGCCAGCAGATATAAAGTCGGATGCTCCCCCAAGTGCTTCCGGCTCCGGGGAACACGAGAACAAGATCAGCTCCTTCGACTTTCTTGCATTGTGTAGCACACCAACGTGGCTAGGCCCAGAGCGGAGGAGATCAAGAAGGAGGTCCAAATCTCCAGGACCTCATTCACCAGCTTCCACAATTGTAAGAAATTTTGCATTTAAAATTTTTAACTTTATTCCCTGTTGGAGATGCATGATTTTAAACTTTTAAACTTTCTTGCAATTCAAGATGGGTAAATAACATACCCCCAAAAAACACTTGATTTGGTATATTCAGTCAAGATTTACAAAACAAATTTGATTGAAGGATTTAAAAATTATGCATACCCAACCACAGGAATAAACGATTCTGAAAAAGAGATGGCACATTGAAGTGTTCAAACCTCTTTAACTGGATTCAACCACAATTTGTCTATATTCAGCTCGTAATGCAATTTGCTTGAAATTAAGACATACAACATGTCCAGATAACTTTTATTCCAGGAGGTAAAATAACAGGAGTTTACCTTCTTCCATGTATTTCTAGAACAAATTATGCTTATGAAAATAATCCCAAGATCCCCCAGAATATCAACTGGTCAATACCTATATCTGATATTCCTCTAGTAAAAGCTGACTGGAATGAGGTGTGTTGTGTGCCTGATTATATGTCATCATACCCTGATGACCTGGACAGGTGTTCATGCTGTCAACCACTGGTTCGATTCTGTGCTTGAGTATAATGTGTGAAGCCCATCCTGGTGTCCCCTGATGTGATATTGCTAAAAGAGACTTAAAGAACTCTCACTCACTTACTCAATCACTGCACTATTATCTGTAAGGATTAATGTACATGATCATTCTCTAATCTGGAAAACAAAATCACTTGAATAATTGCCCACACTGATTTGTAAATTTGGGGATAAAAAGAGGTATGTGAGACAAAATACTGAATGAGTTTTATACATTATTGTTACAAGTTCAGGTGCAAATATCTGCATCTGTACATTCTGTCCAAAATATATAACCCACGATTACCACATATATATTGCCTTTCTCCAATCTTGAAGCCCAGCATACCAGCAAAGCTTCATTTAAGAAAATGCAATGGCCATAACCCTTTCCAAAATACAAAATATCTGCCCTTAAAGGAATGTCTATGAAGAAACAGCACTACTTTACTATCTATAAGAATATCACTTGTCTGTGAGAGTACTCTTTCTGTCATTGTGATGTATAAGTCACTACCAACATGAAGCTATGATAGTAAGTGGCCCCAGGTTATTTATCTTAATAGTATGGAGATAAAACACCCTACATGACTGAGGATGTCATGGACTTAGGATGACATAGGCGGCAGGTGCTGGGATGGGTGTTTACAGAGTAGAGTTCAATTATAGAATTGGTGACTCACATCCTAATGACTCTGACCCAGAGGATAATGATAGAAATCCTTTTCTGAAGATAGAGAACAAGTGGTAGACACTATAAGTTATTGTATCAATCCTTGATGTTTGATTGCAAGATTATAGTACCTGAAGGCTATATTGTGGATGACTCAGCAAGAAAGGCTGTACACATTGTGTTTGTTAGTATTTGAAGATATTAAAAAGACTCAGGATTTTAATGTTGGTAGAGTTAGATAAAAAAAATGTGTGTTTTTTAACCATATGTATTAACACACATAAAACCATTTATTGAATAATATTTCAATCATTTGTATGTGTATATTGGCAAAGGATAGTATAGTAAAGCTGGATGGAAGGTGAAATGTGATAAGATTCAATGTAAGAATTTTCAATACTTTGTAACAGACTATGTTTCAGTTGCATGTGACAGATACTGTTTGTGTGACAGATACTGTTTGTATGACAGATGCTGTTTGTGTGACAGATGCTGTTTGTATGACAGATACTGTTTGTGTGACAGATACAGATACTGTTTGTATGACAGATGCTGTTTGTATGACAGATACTGTTTGTGTGACAGATACTGTTTGTGTGACAGATATAGATACCGTTTGTATGACAGATACTGTTTGTGTGATAGATACAGATACTGTTTGTATGACAGATGCTGTTTGTATGACAGATACTGTTTGTGTGACAGATACAGATACTGTTTGTATGACATATACTGTTTGTGTGACAGATACAGATACTGTTTGTATGACAAATACTGTTTGTGTGACAGATACTGTTTGTATGACATATACTGTTTGTGTGACAGATACAGATACTGTTTGTATGACAGATACTGTTTGTATGACAGATACAGATACTGTTTGTATGACAGATACTGTTTGTATGACAGATACTGTTTGTATGTGACAGATACTGTTTGTGTGACAGATACTGTTTGTATGTGACAGGTACTGTTTGTGTGTGACAGATAATGTTTGTGTGACAGATACTGTTTGTATGTGACAGATAATGTTTGTGTGTGACAGGTAATGTTTGTGTGACAGATAATGTTTGTGTGTGACAGATAATGTTTGTGTGACAGGTAATGTTTGTGTGACAGATACTGTTTCTGTGTGACAGGTAATGTTTGTGTGACAGATGCTGTTTGTGTGACAGATACTGTTTGTATGACAGTTGCAGTTTGTATGACAGATACTGTTTGTATGACAGATACTGTTTGTGTGACAGATACTGTTTGTGTGACAGATACTGTTTGTGTGACAGATAATGTTTGTGTGACAGATAATGTTTGTGTGACAGATACTGTTTGTGTGACAGATACTGTTTGTGTGACAGATACTGTTTGTATGACAGTTGCAGTTTGTATGACAGATACTGTTTGTGTGACAGATAATGTTTGTGTGACAGATACTGTTTGTATGACAGTTGCAGTTTGTATGACAGATACTGTTTGTGTGACAGATAATGTTTGTGTGACAGATAATGTTTGTGTGACAGATACTGTTTGTATGACAGTTGCAGTTTGTATGACAGATACTGTTTGTGTGACAGATAATGTTTGTGTGACAGATAATGTTTGTGTGACAGATACTGTTTGTGTGACAGATACTGTTTGTGTGACAGATACTGTTTGTATGACAGATACTGTTTGTGTGACAGATAATGTTTGTGTGACAGATACTGTTTGTGTGACAAATGCTGTTTGTGTGACAGATGTTGTTTGTGTGACAGATGCTGTTTGTGTGACAGATACTGTTTGTATGACAGATACTGTTTGTGTGACAGATACTGTTTGTCTGACAGATACTGTTTGTGTGACAGATGCTGTTTGTGTGACAGATGCTGTTTGTGTGACAGATGCTGTTTGTGTGACAGATGCTGTTTGTGTGACAGATGCTGTTTGTGTGACAGATGCTGTTTGTGTGACAGATGCTGTTTGTGTGACAGATACTGTTTGTGTGACAGATACTGTTTGTGACAGATACTGTTTGACACAGATACTGTTTGTGTGACAGATACTGTTTGTGTGACAGATACTGTTTGTGTGACAGATACTGTTTGTGTGACAGATACTGTTTGTGTGACAGATGCTGTTTGTGTGACAGATACTGTTTGTTAGTGACTGTTTGTGTGACAGATACTGTTTGTGTGACAGATGCTGTTTGTGTGACATATATGTTTGTGTGACAGATACTGTTTGTGTGACAGATACTGTTTGTGTGACAGATACTGTTTGTGTGACAGATACTGTTTGTGTGACAGATACTGTTTGTGTGACAGATACTGTTTGTGTGACAGATGCTGTTTGTGTGACAGATACTGTTTGTGTGACAGATACTGTTTGTGTGACAGATGCTGTTTGTGTGACATAATGTTTGTGTGACAGATACTGTTTGTGTGACAGATACTGTTTGTATGACAGATGCTGTTTGTATGACACCATATCCAAGCAGTCACTCACACACATTCAGGTCCCTCATTCAGAATATTCCTGTCACATATTGGGTAATATAGATGAGAAAGAATGTTGAGATTGCAAATGGTGAGGTATGAAGAGAGTGAAACTAAAATAGTAATATCTATATATTTGTGTGAATGTAGAAGCCAGACTTTATGACAATCAATACCAGTTGACGCATGAACATGAATTTACAGGTTTCCTCAGGGAAATGAAAGTGTTAGATATGATTGCAGTGTGTTTACAAAGTGTTTAAACACATTGATGGTTTTGTTTCAACAGGGTTCCTTGAAGAATAAGAAACGGGTAGGAGAACTTTGACTGTATGATCCCGTGCTTTCACGGATACCAAATGATGCTCATGGCTCATCTATAACTTACTTACCTACTAATATGTGCTGTGTATGTCCACATTTAGACATGCATCAACATGGACTTCTTGTCTTGCTGAAATATTACACAATTTCTTTTTCTGTATAAAATCTTAAAAAACTGTTGTCTTGGTGTCTTGATTACGGATGTTTAGAAGAAAAAGAATTGTAATTTTTCAGCAATACAGATGCCACGCGGCCTTTCATCTAAGTATGTGCTATTTGTTTTTTGTCTATACTAATAGTTTGCAAGAAAGAGATTTTGATATTCAATCAGAGAAAAAAAGAACGTAATATTGTTCAAGAAAAAAACGTGGTTAGTTGAAAAGCTTCATAATTACTTTCATGGTAAATATTATGAATCATTGAGGGTTCATGAATTTTATTATATATATCAAAGGTACCATTTTTCATATTTCTGTTATATTGATACTTAAGGATATATATAACAAATGTCCAAAGTAATATTGGTACTAGAAAAAAGATGGTATGAGCATTATTTGCCAAAGTGAAACACGCCGACAAGCTTGCTGTATATTATATATACCTACTTATGTACATATACCATACTCAGTATTGCATTGTGGTTGGTACAAATTGTTCGCAATTTAAAGGGGGCTGACAGTTTGAGAAAATCACTTGTCTAGCCTATCAGACCCTATGAAATAAGGGTTAGAAGTAGGTTTTTGGTGCAAAAAGCAATGAAGTTTGCATTTGAGAAAGTAGAAAATAAGTATTTTATACACACACAAAACAAAAAAGAAATGAGAAAAAATTATTTTTAGTTTCTTATTTAAAGTGTAGTGTTTATACTCACCTTGCATTTTAAGTCAAATTTCACAGTCTTTATGGTTTGCTTTTTATATCATTTTTCAAAATTGTCACTTTCATAATTTCTTTTATGGCTTTGATGTTTATTTTGTCAAAGCAGAATTATTTGCGATTTGATTCAGATAATTTCTTAAAATTTCTTTCAAAATGAAGCCACCAGTTTGTACTAGTGATGTGTTTATTGTGTTGTTGGTTTTAGTTTCACAGTATTGTCACAAAATCTTCCTGAAATTGTGTCATGGGCAAATTTATGTCAATCATGAAAAACCAATATTTAAAGTTTTTGGCAATATTCAAAACGTATTAAATTTGAACTGAAACACAATTTCGCCGGATATATATTATTGTTTGATGTTGTAAGTGTACAAACATGCATTTTTTCAACCCAATTAACAACTAATCACCTCAAATTATTGGACCATATTTAACTCACCTGGGCTGTAAGCCAAAGTGAGTCTCTGCCATCAACTCCCCATCCTCCGTGTTGTCTTCCATCAACATATTCTGTTTGTTATCATGAAGAAGTTCAAGAATCAGTTATTTGGCCGATATTTGTCAATTTATGACAATGGAGATTTGATTTTGTTGTATATTTAAAGTGTAATCTTTGAATAAACATTTTCAATATGTCCTCAAAATATTAATTCTACTATTATCAAACAAAAACCTTGTGAAATTGGTTGGATTTTAATTTTGTCAGATTTTAGGGGTGCAATATGATGAACTGACCTTTGCAGATGACTATGACCTCAAGTTCTATTTAAAATAATGTTTTCCCTTTTTTCGGCTGTGAAGATGAAATATTCTGGAGCTTTATTGTACAGGAAAATGACCTACTTATCATGTTTGGTCTGTTAAGTTTCTTTCATGATGATTCAGGTTAGAATTGGTCTTCAGCAACACGCTTGTTGTATGAGGCGACTAACAGGATCGGGTGGTCAGGCTTGCTGACTTGGTTGACACATGTCATCGTATCCCAATTGCATGGATCGATGCTCATGCTGTTGATCACTGGATTATTTACAGACCGGCACCATATAGCTGGAATATTGCTGAGTGGGGTGTTAAACAACAAACCAAACCATAACAATCGGTCCTGATTCTAACTTCCTGTAAGGGAGACAACTGCTTTCTGTTATGTGATACTTGAATACTTATCCTGGCAAAAATGTCACCTTTAGTTTCTACTTAATGTATTATATATAAAGGTACATGAGCTACAGTACCAGGACATTTTTTTTCAGTTCAGTGTGTCTTAGCTAAATTGTCACTTTTGAAAATTACTTAAAAATTTATTTGACATTTATTATCATTATATGACTTTAATCCAATGTGTTGGCAAGGATTACATCGATCATTTACCTTGTGTAATAAAACATTATACAGATATAAGCTGGTTTTTTAGACAATGGCATGGATGCAAATAATTTTGCATGAATTGTGAAACAAACAAAAAGTAGACATGTTCATTTCATTTAGTAATTCTTGTGTTGTTTAAATGTAGCTGTGTTAGTTAGCATATTAAATGTCTGATTTTTGCACAATTTTGATCTTAAACAGTGTAAACAATATGAAGATGATATTTTCTTGCCATAGTGCATATTCTTTAAGGAAGGGATACATAACCAACCATAGGAAAAATCAATGACCTTCATTTGAGAAACGTGTTTATGTTGGACTCAACAATCAAATTGAAAAGTTTAATAAAAATATTCAAATACATCATTTTTGAAAATTAATCATATAAGCAGTTTGATACCTTTCTCAAATCATCATTACTGATTCAGAATAGAATTGTGTAAATCTTATAAAAAAAAATCAGATAATTTTGAATTATTTTGCAAAATCAAGTTTTGGGTTTGATTTACAGGTTGAGATCTGATTTTTGTGTTTTAGAAATTTTCAATAGATATAAATGTTTTAGAATTCAAATAGAAACAAAGAATTTTATGGAAACTAATAAGTGTCTGGATCCTTGTAGGGATTCAGGTAAATGCTACAATGGAATGCTGATGATAGCATTGCACATGTGTTGTTGTTGCCCCAGATCCCATGCTCCTATCACCATGCTGACTTTGGACAAGGTTAGAACCTGGACCAGAATTACAGAAATGTGTTTAAAGTAATAGATATACAGCACTCTGTGTACTGAAAATATGACCTTTACATGTACTAGGCTTGTACTCCACAAAAAGGTAAGTTACAACAGAAACATGTCATTAGTGGGTTGTTTAGATGTTCTTCGAGTAAAAATGTTGTTAGTCCTCAATGTTTCAAATTGCTTTAAGGACTAATTTTCATTTCAGGAATCAGAAAAGCATGGTGAAACATTGACAGTTCCAGGGGCCCAACCCAAAGTGGAAATCAATGAGGGAGCCAAAGTTGAATCGGATAATACTGGTAGTGGGAATTTATTGTCTCCAAATTCTGCATATAAGACTCAAACAACCACCACAACAACAAACTCAGTGCCTCCAGGTAGGACACATAGCTTACATAGAGGGGGCTCGTTACGTTTGTCCAAAAAGCGGGCCCGATCTTGTGGACCTGCAGGAAAAGGAAAAGGACCTTTGCAAAAATCAAATTCTCTGGATGTTCCAGATACCACAGTGGAGGTTACGCCAGTTCTGCTGGAAACTCCTAAACCATCGGCCATTCCACGGCCAGCCAAGCTCGTCCTTCGTGATTGCTATACAGCTGCAACCCCTGTGAAAATTAAAGGGGCTGCAGCGACTGCAGCAACCAACGGACCTGTGACAAGTGTAGAAGTGCATTTCTCGGACAGTTCCAACCCTTGCTCATCTATAGACTTGTTAAAGAGTTCTGAGAATTCCAGTACCCAGGTTCTCAGCAGACTGGAAGTTCCAGGAGCGGAGTTGAACCTGTGTAAGAACCTTCGGTTGCCTCCGATAGAGGCATCCAGCTCTGAGCCCAGTGCTTCAGCCTGTGCTCTTAATGATATAGTAAGGCCAAAAGATAGAACTGGATCCAACTCAAATCAGCTACACGTCTTTCAAGATAAGGGACCTCCAAATCCATTGACCGTTGACAATGCTTATGAACGCCCATGCACTGAGGGTGCCAATGCTATGCAATTAGGGGAGTGTGACACGATGTCGACGAACGATGACAGCAAGTTTGATTTTGGGGGTTGTCCTTCGAGTCTGGAAAGTGGGGTGGGTGAGAGAGATTTGGAGCAGGAGCTCACGGACATGAAGCTTCTTGAGATGGAGGAATGTGATGATCGGGTTGATAGTACAGTAGAGTTGATCTCAGGAAAAAGCAATCCTTTTACAGACAATGCAGCATTGGCTGCTCTTTGTTCTCGGCCCATCTCCAGTGGCAATTCCCGACATGACAGCCCCTGCTCATCCCGACACATGGACAGTAATAGTTGTATTAATCGCAATCCTGACGAAATTGAAGTGCTTGATACTTGTGAATCTGCCTCCTGTGCTAATCGTCTTTCCAAGAGACCAGGTGGCTCGGCACGCAGCTCAATTCGCTCTCAAAAGCTCAAGACACCCACTACTCCTTCTTGGATGGTGTTTAAGACGCCCATTGCTCGTATTGAAAGCTTTCATAGTGACGATTTTGAATACTATACCTCAGAGCAGACTCCAGACAAAGGTGAAAAGGTCTCTCTCTCCTCTGTGTCCCCATCTTCTGTGAATACACCTACCGTGCCATGTTTTGCTTATAAACTTAATTTAGGCAAAAAGAAACCTCCAAAATTAAAAAATTCAAAGTCCAAGATTGAAATGATATCCACCAAAGGAATACGGAATACAGCTGACGGAGGGAAGGGGATACCCCTGCAAAACTCGAAAATGTAAGTCTAATAAAATCTGTACGTTTTAAAACACTATTTTAAATATTAACAAGAACAAAAGCTGAATCTGAAATGCAATATTTTTACACCTTGATTAAGATCAGAAAGCTTTAGCAGACAATGCATCAAATTGTAAGACCAACAAGATAGCATGGCAACATGACCTTGGTTCACAATCCAGTGTGATTGCATGTTAGCTCACCTGGCCAAAGAGGAAAGATGAAGCTTATGGGGTCAGTAGGAGTCTATTATCGTCAATGATGGTATTCGTAAATGTTTTGTATTACAGAACTATTTGATAGATTGTGCTGAAATTGATGTATGATTTCCTGACCATTTCCTGGCAGCCATGTTTACTAAGGGACTAGTCATTGACCAAGGATGCTGGTGGTGGAGGTTTTTGATACACTAATGTACAGAAAGAAGTGATCCCACTATAATGGCTTGTAATAATTTAAGGGATGACCCAAACAATGGCCCTATATATCTTTTTCATAAACCCTCAAGGGGCGATGGGGTAGCTTAGGGGTTAAAAGCTTTCGCTCATCACGATGATGACCCAGGTTCAATTCCCCACATGGGTACAATGTGTGAAGCCCATTTCTGGTGTCCCCCTGCCATGATATTGCTGGAATATTGCTAAAAGTGGTGTAAAACCATACTCACTCACTCATAAACCCTCACTGAAAAGGCAAAATGTAAAGCGATCTATATTTTACTATTAACTGTCCATTTCACCCTCCCTGAATAGTTTGGTCTGACCATCCCCTTACTCTATCTGACCCTGTTGTCCCCAATGATAAATGACCAAAACTTCTTCAAAAATACCAAAAGCTTCAGTAGGCCATATACGGAAGTCAGGCTATCAAATCAATGTTATGTAACGTTAGGCAAATCTAGTAGAGAATGGTGGTTTGGTGATTCTGATTTTGTTATTTGCATGGCCATTCTGTTGACAACAGGTTAGAGCCAGTAATCACAGATCCATTACTCAGTTCTGGGAGTGACACAGAACACCATGATGATACCAATGAGAAACTCCTGGGCTCTGGTAAATCCAAGATCCACCCAATGGATATGGGTGAGTATATCATTGCATCTGGCACTGTTGGGCAACAATGTCACATTTTTTCTCAAACATTTTATATGAAGTAGTATAGTCGATCATAGGTTTTCATATGTCATACCTTTTTGGAATTATGCTCACTCGGGTCTTTAACAAGGACTGTTGCATCGCACAGACATTGTAAATTTCTGATTGATGTCTTGTGGTTTGGACGGGGCTGGTTATAGGTTGTAGTTATCTTTAATAAGTTAATGACATGTTTTACGATTGAATACACAATGCCATTTAGAAAGTGGTCAAATGTAACATATGTTGTATTTGTGGTTACACTTATCAGAGGGGTACACAAAGGTCGTGGCCTAAACTTCCATTTTTGTGGAAGTGGCTGAGCAGGTTAGGTGGCTGACTTTGTGTGCTGGCAATTAGGTGCCTGACTCTGAGGGTTTGGGTTCGAATCCCAGATGGGAATCAACCCAACAAAAGTACAAGAATCTGTACTTTGCTGAGAATGTGTAATCCCAGATATAACATGTTATTTTATGTAAAGAGATGTCAAACACATCTAGTTCTAAAGAATGTTTTATTGTCATGAGGGCATTTCCAAATTGTAACAGTTATTCCAGAAATCAGTTTTCACAGATATAATTTGTTAAAGCAGTAAATGAGCTATAAGTTCTATTTACACACACAAGTTTAGGTTTACAAACAAAAAGACAATACAATAGGTCAAATAAGTGGGAGCAATAATAAGTAACAGAGCCTAAAATTATTGAAAGTGCTCTCACAAATGTTCAGAATTCTGTCACTGTTGAATGTTTTGTTAGAGGTGTGTCTCAGATATCAAATCCAGAAGTGTGGCAGGAATCAGTGTTTCCAATATAAGTATGAAAGTTTGAGTCGAGGACTTATGGGCAATCATTAGAAACTGCACCCTGGATACATCTAAAATCAGCATTTTGACACATTCGACCATCCTTGCATCTTGTTTTAGTCTTGTGTCTGAAACATGCAAGAATATATGTAAAAACCTGATATTGCTATGATCGATATGAACACAACTCAACTTTCGTAACAGTTTCTAAAACTTCTTTGAGTGACATGTTTAGAAGTTGGAGAATCAGATCAGGACAAATCTTTATGGATGTACAACTTCTTTGTTCGGATGATGCGACGTTTCAATACAGATTCTTGTATCGTTGTCAAGCAAGCAAGTTTCTAAAACTGCCGTTTTCTTTCCTGATGCACACCCCACAGTCAGGAGATTACCCCAGATTAGCCAGAATTACCATATCCTTTCCTTTGTTACCATCATTATAGAAAGTAAACTGTACATTGTATGGAATTGATAATGCTGCAGAATTCAGTTCCTTTACACATAAATTTGCTGATTGACTTCATGTCTCAAGATATTATTTTTCAGACGACCAAGAGTCTGAAGTATCTGGAAAGGGTTCCAAATCATCCCGAGGCGTAGCGAACCAAAAAGGTCACGCTAATGCAATCACAAAACAGCCAAACCAAATACAGGTATGTGTGAGACATGAGAATGAGCATGTCTTTGAGTGGTTGACATCCATGTTGCTTGATGGTACTCTGGTCACGTGGTGATGGTGTAGTGATGGAATGTTCGTACTCATTTGATGTGTTACACACTCGCATTACACAGCTTCATACATTCGGAAACATGCACAAGGATGCAATAAGAATTATGTTTTTACAGTAAAATCTGTAATTATTCTTTTTAGACATTTGTAAATCAAACACATCCCAAACAAAGCATTAAGAAATATGGCTTATCTGAAACAAAGCTTCATGTGAACTCATACCATGTTACAGCATTCTGTTAATTGTCCAACATTGTTGGCATTTTTTCATACCCTCAGAAACAACACTTTGAAAGTGAAATTTAGTATCTTTTTAAATATCACTGAAATATTTCTCATACAATTTACAACATGGCTCTCGAAACAGCCATTTTGGTACCTATATTATTCATTATGTATTTACATGTGACTGTTGAAGTTTTGTATCACAATAGCAAATGTTGTGTAATTTATGAGTAATGTTTCATTATGATCAACTTTGAAATTAAACTGAAGCATCCAATTTGAAGTCACTAAATTAATAAAACTGCACAATGTATACATAATTCTTCTCAGCAACATATCTTTAATCATCCTCAAAAGTTCCCAGAAGGCCAGCTATATTGAAAATGTCAATTAGCCAATTACCTTATTAATTCTGCATGAACAGAAGGTACTTTCTATGATTTTATATCTTGCCCTAATTTTGACAGTACTTCTTTTACACCTGAAATGAACTTCTTCACTTTGAACCATGAACCTAACGTTTTGTGTATATGAACACAACTAAAATCTCATTCAATTTTCCCCTTACACTCATATTTCCATATTTTTTTTCATATTTTTATACTATGTTATTTGGGCGAACAACCCAAATACATTTTCATGCATCATTATCAATCTTAATATACTAAAAAACATTGATGAAGTTTCTCATCATTACCCATACTTTCATGGAATTAGTTATAATTTATGAAGTGAAGACTAACTATGTAAATTACATCAGAAGAATTTCCGGATTTTGTTTCTTGTGAACATATTGCACACATGACAACACTTTGAACATCAAATGAGCATGTACATTTCATCTGGTTGGTATTTCAAGACAGGTTTACATTTGCTTGATTAGTCCCTCAACTGTAGTGAAGTTCTAGTAAAATTGTAGTATTTCTGTAGTGGTCTGCATGTTTAGAGTTATCCTTGTTATCTCCTCTTGTTCAAAAAGTGATAATCAGAAGACTTCAGAATAAACTTTACCAATCTCTCTGTGGAGATAGATAAAAACATATTTTCATACAATGATGAATATAATATATATTTTTTTCAAACTACTTTTGACTTTCAGATTTTTTATATAGAAACACTATTAATGAATCTTAAATGATCAAACCTGAATCGGCATGCAACTTAACTTTGTCTATTAAAGATATTTATTGCAGGCTTGTAACATGAAATATGAAACACTAACCTTTCGTTTGCCAAAATTTAATCAACTTAATTACTAGTTTTTGCAGATGTGGAACTGTTGAATGAAAACAGACAATAATTTTGCATGGCATTTCATTTGTAGATGCTGATTTGGATGAAATGTCGCATTAAAACTCATGCTTACTTATTGTTATATAAAGCTAATTTGTCTTCCCTATCAAACAGTGCAAAATGGTCATGAAAACATGAAAACTTTGATCCAGCAAGTGGTGTTCAGATTTGCTTTAAGGATATCAGCTGGTTTGGGTTCTGAGGCACCTCATTGTATCAGTTAACATACAACAACATCTGTATTCCCTGGACTGATTGGTCATATGACTGATTACATCTTAAATCATCACTTCTGTCAATTAATATAATATTTATAGTTGATTATTAAAATAAATTCTACAAAAATTAATGATGTCATGACCTGAAAAACATCTACTTCTAATCTTGATTACTGATATTTTTATTTTAAAAGATGACTTTCTTACAAAAAATTCTGTATAACATGGAAAACATATTTACTTTCTTTGATAAGCTCAGCATAACTAAGAAAGTGTAGGAATTGACATGATCAAACTTGCCACAATTTTCATGTGTAGTTTTCATGACAACAGATTATTATCCAGAGTATTTTAATATTTAACATAGATGCAAAGACAATGAACACCCAATACATATACATAGTTGTCAGCCAACACTATGCTGAACCGCCTTAGTGTTTTTAATCCATGTATGTCAATGTTTTGTTGTATTAATAAGCATACATGATAAAATATTGTAAAGAAAATATAAATACTTAATGTCAGAACAAAGGAATACCTAGTCTTGACTATCCAGGAACTGATTATATTTGGTGTAAAGGATTAAAATTGCAGTGACAATTATAAGTATTTACCAGTAAAAATCAGTGATGACACCAGGTGTTCTCGTAAAGGGTTTCACACTCCTGCACTACCTGTAGCACAGACCAGTCACTCAATTTGCCTTAAAAAGTAAGTTTCTATAATATACAGTATAGGTTAAAAAGGTATTAACCTATATGTACATGTTATAGAAACTAATGGCTTTTTTAATATTTACATACAGGTTAATACTTTTTGTCCGTTTATGATTAACAGCTATCGGTCAAAACAACGTATCAGTTTCTATGACATAAAGTTAAAAGACTATTGTCAGCAATGTGCATGCAGACACACAAAAATAATAACAAATGATAATAATAAAATCCTTGCATGTCTGCTGTAGTTGAATACGTTAGTATGAAACAAAAAAATTACATAAATACACATATTTTATAATTTTCCAAATTATTCGTGTTTTACACTGACAAAATGTCAGTTTGTAGGAAGACAGTGTCCATGTGATATGGCATTATATGGTTGAATGGCATTGGGAATGCATTTATGACCAACCACAAAGCCTTAGAGACAGGGATTTAGGTTGTTGTATTATGCTTTACCCACTCCATGAAAATTGTTTATCGTGGCATGAAAAAGTCAGATTTTCTTCAAGGTTGGCAGATTCCACATAACCTAATAAATATAAGTAAACAATGCTTTTTTATATGGATAGCAACTTCACACGTTCTATAAAGATGTAAAGAACAAATTCTTGCTCCTTCATGGTGTAATCAAAGGTGTGGTGAGGTGAAATTGGGTTTAACGTCGTGCTTGAGAATATTTCGCTCATATGACGATGTGCATGCGTGTGTATGTGTATGTGCAGCTGCTTGTACTAGCCCAGACTGAAGCTGGTTTTATAGTGCTAGCCCACTGAGATACCATGCCGCAGTGAAGCATGAATACCCTACTCAGACACATTATACTGACTCCGAGCCGACCAGTCCTTGTTGTACCCATGATGCTGAGCGGCAGACAGGGACCAACAAGTACCATATTTTAATGTCTTTTGGTATGACGAGGTCGGGGGTGTAATCAAAGGGGGAAGAAGTAGTCCGGGAACATGGAATGAGTTACAAAATTATGAAACATTGTTTCAAAGAAATGCTGTTATCCATGAAACAGTTTCTCACTCTGACATCTAGATGATTTTTAAGGACTAATAAAATTAATCATGGAATAGAAAATGTGAAATGCAATACTGTTTTATTCCACCAAATTAAAACTTGCATGTTCGTCAAAGTTTATTGTGGATATGGTGAGTCAAACGACAAGGCTAAAGGTCCTAGTTAAAAAGAATATACAGGTATGGATATCATTATACATATAATATTGTATTGGGATCACTTATATGTGAACATTAAAAATATGGTAAAAAATAATTTCATCTACCAACCAGGAATTGTCACAAAAATCTGTAAACCAATAAATAGAACCCATCTGTTCTCAGGTTGCTCGCCCTTATAGGAAATAGACCTGCACACTAATGCCTCACTCACTCACTCAGAAACTCCTGTAACTGTGTATGTTATACAAATGTGTCTATTTTCTGGCAGAGTGTGTAATATGTCATCACTCCTGATGTTCATGCTTAACCCTTGACTCTTGTGTGTCGTGAACTTTTGAGACAAATATTGCAAATGTTATAGCCTTTCTACATAAATGATGTTATCTTTAAACAAGTGTGATATCATAAGCCCTGGATTATGCAAATGTATAAATCTGAAGAAAAAAAATAATCAATTTAGCCGTAAAGATTTGTTAGCAGTTCTTAGGATCTGGATGTGTTATTCTATTAATATTAATATTGAGCTCTTAACAGTTTGTCCATTGAGGCAAAGGATGCACGAAATCAGTTATTGCATCAATGTATACGTTTATGCTTTCTATAATATGTCTTGTCTTCTAAAGCCAATATTACACTCAAGCCGTTAAATGTATGTCTTAATCTTGATATTTGTGTGTAATTTGTGTATAGTTTTGGGCGTTATGTTGACCAGTATTGCAATAAATAAGTCAAAATATCCAAAACTTTACCATCCTTTCAAGTACTGATAGCAGTACTGATTATTATGAACTATTATATCAAAAATATGTTCAAGTGTGTAATTATAATCATCTAATTTATGATTTGTCAGTAATGTGTAAAAAGGTGACGGTAATCATTTCTACTGGAAGAACATTCTCTGTCTGTTTTTGAAACTGCAATAACGCAAAGTCTTTAGAAACAAAATGAAGATGGATAATATAATATTTCTAGTAGAAACGTATGTCGCACCCTGTAGTAATGACATACACATAAGTGCCAGTGCACTTTCCATTTTGAATGAAAACCTTGAATATATTTAGTAGAAACTGCATAAATTTCCAATCTTAATATTGATAACAAATATTGAAACATTTCTGTAATTAAATTAACACAGGTACCGGTATCAAATAAAATGTCCTAAATAATATTGGCTTAAATTGGTTTCATTAAACATTCATAACAGTAAATTTTCGTGAACATCCCAATTATCTCAATGTGACATTGATCATGATTTCCAAAAAAAACGAATGAAACATTTGATTTATATACAAGCAGCTGATTTATATACATTTGTTTATATTTGAAACATTATTTATATTTTACCATAGTTTTCTTAAATATCCAAATTATCTTGATTAATTTTTCATGATATCGAATTGATATAAAACATCAATTGTCAGAATATAATCAGGCTTGATCATCACTTGAAACAGATTCTATCAGGCATAAAAGGCAAAATAGCAATGAAAATGAAATAAATAAGTCACTGAAATCAGTGAAGACACCAGGTGTTGGTCAAAATAATCAAATGTCTTATTTACTTTATCTACCTCTTGATGAATCCAACAATCTCTATAGTTGATCATATTTGGCACAGTTTATTTTGCTAAACCGTGCTGGTTTATAAGTCAGGCAAATTAAGCTTTATCTCCTTGCATTAAAAAACCGGTTGTTTCTTGCAGCAGTAGTTATTTACGTCCAGTTGCTAACATCCTCGTAGTTTTCTTACAGTCTCAGCTATTCCTGTTCAAAAGCAAGAATCTTTCTCTTACAGACTATTATCTCTTCTCTGCTTTTTGACACTGGGATTGGAGTCTTGACTAATGAATGTTGATTTCTGGGGTGAAAATGGATGATTTGTATTGTCGATGTACATGTTTTCATCTGAACTTTGCACATGTAATTCATGATCTAATTATTTCACATCATGTTATGTATTTCACCATTCCTAAGCCAAATGGATTTTAAACTGATAAGGGTGAGATGACAACTAGTTAATAATATAATATTCCTTTAAATGACCATCCTTTTAATACATTTTACCACAAATACAGTTAATGAAATATCAAATATAATTTGCTTATTTATTACCCTGTCCAAAGAGCTTGGTAAAATGTTAATTTGTTTGTTTGCACTGCAGTTTTGTCACTAAATTTAAAAGTATATTTCTGTAATTTATCATAACCCTAAAGCGCTGCGCAGTGATATAAGTTTTGTATAGTACTAGTTTTGTTTTAGAGATTGATATACGATGTTGTTAAGTCAATAGTGAAGCATGTACAACCTAATAGAAGTGTTTAGATATCCACGTTTTTCTTTTATTTGCATCGCAACAGCCAAAGGCGTAGTTGTACAGCATATTTTATCAGGTAACTAACCATTGACAAAACCTCTTGTTTGTATGATTGTTGTATACCCAGAATGCATCAGTGTAGATATTCCCAAATGATGTTGACGGCCATATTTCTCCTCCTGTCATCACTGAAACGAACATCAGGGTACTGATCACGTGATTACATTTCAAGATTCCACATCATTTCATGTCAGGATACCACGTGATTATATGTCCAGATTCATCATTACATGCAAGATGTCAGTGTCATTACATGTCAAGATATCATGTCAGTACATGTCAATCTTATTCATTACTTTCATTACCATGTCATTGCTATTAAATTGTCACATGTTTTACAATCATTCATGGAAGAGCTTAAAAGGTCTTTAGAGAGTGTAGCAGGCTATCTGTCAATCATTCTAAATACTGTCATGATATAAATTTTTGTTATTCCTTTAAAACATCGAGGATATTTTTGTGCATGTAACTGATATGTTTGCCAAAAGATTGCAGTTTTCATTATCATTTGTGACTGATGATAAAGTTTGAAATTTTGGCGTTTTGATTTTGCATTTAATTTTTAGAAATATCTTTTGTAAACCAATCACATTATATCTTTTTATTTGAAAAACTTGATTTAACACTCTCTTTGGATTATAAGTTCACACCAGCTGTCTCTAAGTTTCAGTCAGAAAGCAGATTTTAGTGTGGTTTGTGCAGTAAAAATGTGAATGCAGAATCGGTTTCTGTTAAATACATTTTTTTCTTGCACACGTTTGAGTCTATCCCTCTCTAAGTCTGTCAGATCCTGAAGTGTCCTATAGTTCCATGGATATATGAATTCATTTCACATTTGAAGTAACAGTTTCTTATTGACTAAAAGTGCCATCCTTATGGCTGTCTATCTGCCTCTTTAACTGAATAGGATTCTCCCCTGAACCACGTCAATATTCCTTGCATGTGGGTATATTGCAATTCAAAATGCACAGTCTAATAAGGCATCAGTTGCATGCTCCTTATTAGGCAAAATCTTTTCCCATTTCGTTTCAGAATTCTCTAGGTAGGAATTCAAAAAACTTGCCAAGCAACGACACCAAGAAAAAGATTGGTGTAAAAAATTCTCCATGGAAAAAAAGCTTTGCCCAATTCCTGAAGAGGAAAAGACAGACCATCCGACTCCCCAGTAATAATAACAACAATGACTGCTCCCCAGCCAATCAGCAACAATCAGCAAGGAACGGACATGCCCCCAACAGCCCTGTTGGGAAAACAGACCCCTCAGGGACAGAGGACAGGCGAACGTTGACCTCGTCCTCTGCCCCTGTGGGGAACAACATTGCAGGTACGTGTCAGAGGTCGCAGTTCCTACAGGTTTCAAAATCAACAGACTTTCCACCATTGTAACTGAGGAGGTTCAAATGAGCTTTTTGGGGTGTCCTTCCATCAAGAGTAAAATTGGAACATCCCCTTTGACACCCTTAGGCCTGTTACTTATAACATGGCCATCATGGAAGCCATATTTAAAAAGACAGCTGCCTCTATTTCCTCCGTCCTTTCTGCGTTTATTATTATGAAAATTTGATCTGCAGGAAGTATGTGGTATGGAGCATAAAATGTGATTTCCTTTCTGTACATATTTGGAATATCCTTCTACAGGCTTTAATCTCAGTTTACTTGTTTTCTTTACATTTCTTTTGAAACCTTTGGACCTTTGAAACCTCTTGGGTTTGAAAATGGACTTGAAACGAGTTTATGATCCCAGATATAATATCCAATAATGATCACAAAATTCTTTCATGGCACCAATTTTGAAAATGTAAAGTGCCATTATTCTTCCATCTCTATATAGTTCATCATGAAAAGCTACGTTGTTTCCAAACTTCTGTGATATATTCTTCCATACTTGTTTCCATGTCATAATCTGATGCAAATATTCCAGAAATAATCTACTTCCTAATCTATTGTAGTCATTGTCATGGCAACGTTGGTGCAATTAGTAGACTCACAAGTAAATCTGCAGAGTCAAAAACAAATGATGCATAAAGTATTATATATAAATGTAAAGTGTTATTATATATATATTTTATTGTCTTTATATGTGAAATATGTGGTATGATATATCATCCAAATCATTTTCCATATGCTATCATCTTTGATATGCCGGTATGGCTTGCTGAGCTTTACGCTTTTGCTTTATATCAAGCATTATTATGCCCGAAATGTAACCATACACTATGCTGAATAATCACGCTATTACCACAGCTTTTGTTACACATAACGGTATGTGGTGTGTGTGTGTATGCTGGGAATGTAACGTTACGCTGGAATATGCTGGGAGTGTATAATATTTGGTTAATGTATGCTGAAGTGTGACTTTATGCCAAGTTTAAATGTGCGCATAAAGTGTAGCATTTGTGTAGATTTTTCTTGCTGAACTTGAGTTTTGTGTTCAATTTGTAACATTTGGTGCAATATATGCTTTTTTATACGTACGCTCAAATACACACTGCTGTGAAACCTAACACCCAGTTAAAAGTGTTAATTCCATTCTTGCACAAATACTGCTCGAAACACTGACAATATTTTGAATTATTGCACTGCATAACATGCCTGTGTACTGGAGGTCCCTTGACGATCAGCATGCTGTGTATATTTGAATAACACACTTGAAAAATGCACTTTCATCTAATCATGTCAAAGGCTATACTATAAAGAATGTTTAAAGTCAAACTAACATGAAACTCAGAAATGCAGAATAGATAGTGATAAATGATAATTTTAGCATGATAACCTTTTGTCATTGCAGAAATTAGTTTTGTAGGAACCGGTCCTCATAATCATTACATATCAACATGTTTATATAGGGCTAGTTCTAGATGCTCATGATGTGTGGGGTTTGTAAAAGATTCAGAAAAGCAGTTCATGCAATCGTAATTTGTTATTTCACAGCTGATAACATGGATTATATATCCCTGCCCCTTGATAGACAAAACCCTTATTTCATTTGTTCATCCAGCTGACAGCCTGAACCCTTATTTCACATGTACTTGCTCAGTCACCTGACAGACACCCTATCACCTGACAGACAAAACCCATATCACTCAGTCACCTGAAAGACAAAACCCATATCACTCAGTCACTTGACAGACAAACACCCTATCTCCCGACAGACAAAACACATGTCGCTCAGTTACTTGACAGACAAAACCTATATCACTCAGTCACCAGACAGACAAACACCCTATCACCTGACAGACAAAACCCATATGACTCAGTCACTTGACAGACAAACACTCTATCACCTGACAGACAAAAAACGTATCGCTCAGTCACCTGACAAGACAAAACACATGTCACTCAGTCACTTGACAGACAAACACCCTATCACCTGACAGAGAAAACCCATATCACTCAGTCACCTGACAGACAAAACACGTATCCCTCAGTCACCTGACAGACAAAACCAATATCACTCAGTCACTTGACAGACGAACAAAAATCGTATCGCTCAGTCACCTGACAAGACAAAACACGTCACTCAGTCACTTGACAGAAAAACACCCTATCACCTGACAGAGAAAACCCATATCACTCAGTCACCTGACAGACAAAACACGTATCCCTCAGTCACTTTACAGACAAAACCCATATCACTCAGTCACCTGATGGGCAAAACACATATGGCTCAGTCACCTGATGGACAAAACATGTATCGCTCAGTCACCTGACAGACAAAACATGTATCCCTCAGTCACTTTACAGACAAAACCCATATCACTCAGTCACCTGATGGGCAAAACACATATGGCTCAGTCACCTGACAGACAAAACACATATCGCTCAGTCACCTGATGGACAAAACACATATCGCTCAGACACCTGACAGACAAAACACATGTCGCTCAGACACCTGACAGACAACACACATGTCGCTCAGTCACCTGACAGACAAAACACGTATTGCTCAGTCACTTGACAGACAAAACCCATATCACTCAGTCACTTGACAGACAAAACCCATATCACTCAGTCACCTGACAGACAAACCGCATATCGCTCAGTCACCTGATGGTCAAAACACGAATCACTCAGTAACCTGATGGGCAAAACACATATCGCTCAGTCATCTGATGGATAAAACACGTATCGCTCAGTCACCTGACAGACAAACACCCTATCACCTGACAGACAAAACCCATATCACTCAGTCACTTGACAGAGAAAACCCATATCACTCAGTCACTTGACAGAGAAAACCCATATCACTCAGTCACTTGACAGACAAAACCCATATTATTCAGTCACTTGACAGACAAAACACATATCGCTCAGTCACCTGATGGACAGAACAAATATCGCTCAGTCACCTGACAGACAAAACACATTTCTCTCAGTCACCTGATGGACAAAACACATATCACTCAGTCATCGATGGACAAAACACGAATCGCTCAGTCACCTGACACACAAACACCCAATCACCTGACAGACAAAACCCATATTACTCAGTCACCTGACAGACAAAACACATATGGCTCAGTCACCTGATGGACAAAACCCATATCGCTCAGTCACCTGATGGACAAAACACATATTGCTCAGACACCTGACAGACAAAACACATATCGCTTAGTCACCTGATGGACAAAACACATATCGCTCAGTCAGCTGATGGATAAAACACATATCACTCAGTCACCTGATGGACAAAACACATATCGCTCAGTCACCTGACAGAGAAAACGTATATTTGTCAGTCTCCTGATGGACAAAACACATATCACTCCACCAGATTATTACATCCCATCTCCCTCTCAGACAGAACTTTTATATCTCAGCCAACTCAAAATCAGATTATTATATCTCAGTTCCCTGTCAGACAGAACTTTTATATCTCAGCCAACTCAAAGCCAAATTATTATATCTCAGCTCCCTCTCAGACAGAACTTTTATATCTCAGCTAACTCAAAGTCAGATTATTATATCTCAGCTCTCTTTCAGACTGAACTTTTATATCTCAGCCAACCCAAAGTCAGATGATTACATCCCAGCTCCCTCTCAAACAGAAATTTTATATCTCAGCCAACTCAAAGCCAGATTATTATATCTAAGCTCCCTCTCAGACAGAAGTTTTATATCTCAGCTTACTTAAAGTCAGATGATTACATCCCAGCTCCCTCTCAGACAGAAGTTTTATATCTCAGCTTACTCAAAGTCAGATTATTACATCCCAGCTCCCTCTCAGACAAAGGTTTTATATCTCAGCTAACTCAAAGCCAGATTATTATCACAGCTCCCTCTCAGACAGAACTTTTATATCTCAGCCAACTCAAAGCCAGATTATTACATCCCAGCTCCCTCTCAGACAGAACTTTTATATCTCAGCCAACTCAAAGCCAGATTATTACATCTCAGCTCCCTCTCAGACAGAACTTTCATATCTCAGCCAACTCAAAGCCAGATTATATGATCCCAGCTCCCTTTCAGACAGAACTTTCATATCTCAGCCAACTCAAAGCCAGATTATTACATCTCAGCTCCCTCTCAGACAGAACTTTTATATCTCAGCCTGCTAGGAAGGAATGAACCATCGGGTTTGGCTTGCAAGATGATGGTGACATTACATCCTCACCATTGTCAAGTCCACAGAATCTGTCAGCATTTGATAAAGAGCATTGCAAATACCTAAAAACAGTGTTGACAGAGAGTTACATCAGTTAGAAGCATGTCCACTATCCACCATACAGCAAGATCCTGTACTAGGCTGATCCCGATATTGATGCCGATCATTTAGGGCAGCTTCAGGACATGTTAGTACTTTGCAAGAAAGAATACTGAATCTGAGAGGTCCAGATTTAAAATTTGGGGGAGAAAGATAATTATACAAATTATGTCATTTGTTTAAGAATGTGGGACTCCAAACTGTATATTTTTAGAAGTTTATCAACCTCTAAAAACACTAACAGGGTATATATCATGTTGTACATGAAGGGACAGATGTGTCAAGGGCCTGGATTAGATTTTCCTGACAAGTGTAGTATTGGTGCCACAAAATGAATCATGATATTCATGATACAAACTAGATTATCGTTTAGTCTCTGAAAATATTGTATTTGATGGATGTAAGTAACTAAATTTAAATTAAAAAGACCACCTTGCGATAACACTTTCAGAACCTGTGGAAAATTTGGACTTTTGGGCTACAACATTAATGTAAGTGCTGAGCGGAAATATACCATATATGACTGTAGACAAGGTCCCAACTTGACCCTTGACATTTGTATCAAAATGACGTGTCTGGTACATAATAATTTGGTTCAGGGATATTGAGACAAAATAGGCCAACCTTAGGCCTACAAAGATGCAGGACGTTTGCTATACCTACTAAGGATCCCTGCCTTGTTTTGGAAAACTGAAACTGTGTGAAAAGATTTCAACCTAACACCATTCCATGCGAATACAGTTTCATCAATCTTCCAAGAAAATCTCAGAACTCAGACTCTTAGAACATCAAATATATCATCAGCGCCATAAACTCCCTTGTTTCATACATCTTCCCCCAACTGTACAGTGGAACCCAACCTGCTAAAACCCACAAACATGGTCTAAGTCACTGAACATGATGACACCATCCCCAGGCTCGCTGCTACTCCCTGCTTCCAACCTGCTGTTCTTCTGCTTGTGTCCTGGCTGCCAGCACCATATTGTATCTTCACCTTCATCTAATTTTTCAGAATCTATTGAATTACAGTCGTCCCCTATCCCGCGCTTCCCCGAGCCCCACTCCTCGGGTGTTCGACTTCACGTTGGTCACGGACTCCCCCAAAGGAAAATCGTGTCTACTCAGCTGGAGAGCATGTAGAGAATGTGGCGTCAGCGACCAGTCCTCAGAAGGGGTGAGCACTCTTGTCATGGTTCAAGAGAAACCTTGAAAATGCAGGATAAGTTTCGTCTAATGATCCAAGGGGATACAACCTGCTTGCAGAGTTGTGTCCTCTAGCTGCCAAAAATAGATTGTTGCCGAGAGTAGTCCTGATTATATTCCTTGTATTGTCAAACGGACATGGACTGTTTTGAGGTCATGAATTGTTAAGTTACCATGTTTCTATGAGTTATCAGCACATTCAATGTATTACAGCATGGTCTCTGGTACTGTGTAGAGTTGTGTCCCTTAACTGTTGCAGGATTACTGTTCTGTTATCAGATTATAATCCTTTTTTTAAATTTCGTTTTATTGGACAAATTTATGTCACATAAATACCAAAAAAAGAATAGATTTAGATATGCATGTTTTCAAAAGCATCAGAAGAACACCAAAATCATCAAAGAATTGAATCCCATACACCAGGATGGTATATTTATTGAATCAGTTTCTTAGGTTTGAAGGTTCTCACAAATCAACACACAAAGATACTGAAACAGAAATGTAATGTGACCATCCAATATTTGAGCACAAGTAATATTTAGCATTCAGTCCATCTTTGATACAGTTTCACAAAACATTTTATATTGGGAAGTCTCTTTGGAACCTACTATGTACAATTTATGTTACACAAACAGCAAAACTACAAGCACATACGGTGAAATTGACATAGCATTCTTAATGTGTTAAGTCTTCAGATTTTTTAATTGACCATCAACATGATCACAGGATTAAAGTACAATGCAATTTCTTCGTTTTGAGTTTAAAATTCATCCTTCCACAGCAGTGTGCAAAATAGTTTCCAAATTTTGCTAGCCAGTCGGGCTAGCATTGCCTGAAAGTTACTAGCCCACAACATAATTCACTATCTCGAAATTTGAATGTAGAAACTAAGCAAAAGGTTATGAAAAGGTAAAATACCATAAAAAACAAATGACCCCAGTCGGGCCAGTGACTGTGGAGATTTACTGGCCCAACTGGATATTTACTAGCCACAGGCTAGCGGGCCAATGGCTATTTTGCACACTGTTCCACACTGCTACCAACAAACTATAGAATAAACATAATTCTACCATGGCAGTGGAGAATATTGCTTTATCTATTTCATACCTCAAAATTCAGATGCCTTTTACAGAAAAACCTGCATAGAAATTGATCTATTAATAGCCTACACTATAATGAATAATGGCTGCAAAAAAAACACTTAATAGTATCTGTGTATATAATTGCATACATAGTCCAACTGTAGTTTAGGTTCCTCGAATTTACATTGTGTATGCAATTCTATACACATACACTATTTAATTTTATACAAGATGTAAATGAGAGGAACCTAATCTACTGTTGGACTAAGTCAAATTTCTGAACACACTAGATTTATCTTCAAAATGTTCATTTACAACTGTAAACAGATCAATTTTGTAGTCACTTTTGTTGTTACTTTAAAGGGAACATAACACAACATGCTTATTTGACCAGTCATTTCTGTTACTTGGAAACAAAATCTTATATTCTGACATCAGAGCAGACCACCATGATGCAAGGCTTTCAGTCTGTTTTACACGTTGTTGGCATGATTATAACAATATTCCACTACATATAACAATGAAGAGTATGATAATCTTTATCAGATCTGTTCGTCCTAGGGTAGCCTAGTGGTTAAAGCGTTCGCTCGTCACTCCGAAGACCCGGGTTCTATTCCCCACATGGGTACAATGTGTGATGCCCATTTCTGGTGTCCCCCGCCGTGATATTGCTGGAATATTGCTAAAAGCGGTGTAAAACCATACTCACTCACTCACTCACTCACTCACTCACTCACTCACTATTCCCCACCCTCTGTATCGCTTTGATGAGTGTGGATCAGTACAACCAATGTGGGCTTAGGATAATTATGCAGATATATTTTTTTTAGCATATTTTCTCTATGAAAAAGTGAAGCGGATGAAAAATGAATGAAAAACATGTATTATTTGTTGAAAGGACTATGTGAGATATGATGAGACCTCACATCGAGACCAATGAAGGTCTGGGTTAGAATATCTTCAGTAACCCATGCTTGTCATAAGAGGTGACTAACGGGATCGGGTGGTCGGGTTCGCTGTCTTGGTTGACACATGTCAGCCCAATTGCGTAGATCGATGCTCATGCTGTTGATCACTTGATTGTCTGGTCCAGGCTCGATTATTTACAGACCGCTGCCATATAGCTGGAATATTGCTGAAAGCGGAGTAAAACTAAACTCACTCACTCACTCCAAACGAACTCACGTGTGGCAGAGGTAATAGCATGACCAGAAGGAACTCTGGCTTGGAGTGTTAGCCCATACTAAATAGTATACCAGATATTCACAAGCTAATTGTTAGATTATCAAATCATTAAAATGTGTGGCCTATCTCCATCTCAGGAAATATTACCACAGTTTATCCCTTACTTTTTGTGAATTAACAACAGCCAAAAATATTAATTTTGTTGGTGTGTTTTGGAGAGGGTAATTAGTAAGAAGGGTCATTGGGAAGTAAGAGGATAAGACCGCCTCCGTGGTGTAGTGGTTAGAGCGTCCGCCTAGAGTGTGGAAGGTCGCGGGTTCGATCCCCGACCGCGTCATACCAACACACGTTAAAATATGGTACTTGTTGGTCCCTGCCTGGCGCTCGGCATTAATGGGTGCAGCAAGGACTGGTCGGCTCGGAGTCAGTATACTGTGTCTGAGTGGGGTATTCATGCTTCACTGCGGCATGGTATCTCAGTGGGCTAGCACTATAAAACCAGCTTCAGTCTGGGCTAGTACAAGCAGCCGCACATACACATACACACGCATGCACGTAGTCATATGAGCGAAATATTCTCAAGCACGACGTTAAACCCAATTCCACCACCACCACCACATAGAGGATAAAGTTCTTACTTACCACAACAAAGCCGTGGTTTGATTTCCTACATTGCTACAAAGTGTGTCCTTTGTCCTTCACCTTGCTGGAATCTTGCTAATGGAGCCAAAAGTCAAGCTTACTCAGCAATTTGGAAGAGAAATATTATGTCCACTTGTTAACTTTTGAAATGGAGGATAATTACATAAGGAACAACAGATGATTAATTGATAGTGTCCTTTTTTGCCTTCTTTCAGGAGAGTGAGTGTAACATTCCCCTGGAGCAGAACGTGAATCTCTCACTAAAGACTATGCCAGAAATGAATAATATCCAGGATGCTACCCGGAATTTCACAGCCTATCAGTTTACGCATTCCTGATTGCAGGAGGAGAAGTCAAGGTCATCAGCCTCAATTTGGATGGCTTGTAGTGCAGGATGTATGTTGGTGTTCCATTGGTTGAATCCTGCAAAAGACAGAGTTGTGTGCCGTTGATGTTTTGTATAATTTTGGAGAATTTCCATACCCAAGGTTCCGATGTTTTAAGAGTATCTGTGTGTATGGTTTGATAAAACCATGGTGTTTTAAAGATTTCATATGTGGAATTCGGTATTATTTGGATGTGTTTGTGCCGAATAGGGCCAAATTTGATAGAGAGTCTCCCTGGCACACATGATGTCATGCAACTCGTATTCTTGCCGTGAAACCGGCTTGGAAGGATTTAAAGCATTCACTTGTCAATTTCAGGAAATATGTTGTTGTCAAGCAATTAACAGCAACACAGCACAGTTATACATATTTGAAACCCATTACTGCATATGTACATTGCATGACAGTGGTACGTTATGTATATACTTATATATTATGTGAAATTCACTTTATTGTTAATCTTCTCATTCAAACAACTGTGATATATTGTCGTGTTTCTCATGTTATTTCTCAAGTGGAATTTTCCGATCAGTTGATATGGAAGAATTCTATGTTACTCACAGCGTAGCAGGACATATTTCACACACTGCACCGTTTTTCAGCATGTGATTAAACAATGATAGATACATCTTGTACAGATCACCAATACCATTCACCGTTTTGCTGGAACAAGAACGGAAATGGCAACATTAGCAAAGAAATTGCCATAAGAACCTGTTCCAGAACTTGATTACCTCCCCTTACCTGGACTCTTCAACATCGGAGGTAAACAAACTTCCAATGAAGAATTCTCAAGCAAAAGAAGTAGTTTATAGAATTGGTAGACGTTTTAAATTCAGAATAAATGCATGCATGCTAAAATGACCAATGCAAAATAACATGCAATACTTATCATATGAAGAAATCATCGCAATAAGTTTGGTTTAGTATAGTATATTCAGAAATAAACTTGACTCCAGTGCAATATATTGTGTATTGACTAGAATTGTTGGCCATTTATATATGAATATATATATTCACATATATATATACTCCCATCCTGTGTCATCCTATCAGAGGCAGTGTTCGAAATAACTTTCAGATGTGACCATGGTAGTTTGCATACACAACTAAATTTCCTATAAACAAAATTAGAGATTGTCATCAAGTCATACCCAAAGGTTGGAAGACTCAAGAGAACATGTGACCTTAATAACTCAACAGAATAACTCCCAATTTGAATACTCTGAATGCACACAAATTTGACTGAATGAAAATAATTACGTCCTTTCCAGATTCATATTAAATCTCTGATAAAAGCAGAGTTCATCCCATGGTTTCAGCATGGATCATGAACACCAAAACCCCATGTATTTGAGTTAATGTTGAAGTACCCCCCAAAAAGCATGAATTTGCTTCATTTTGATATTGGCTCTAAAGTGCTGTATTCAGCTTGTTTCTGCAGCAGGAAACATATTGCATCATCTGGTACAGTTCAAACAAATAATATTTACAGTTTTGAATTCTAAACTTACTTTATTCTTGAAGTAACTGTAGATATCATTGTCCCTAAACAAAACAGTGGACAATGGGCATTTAGCTATTTCGAACACTGCTCAGAACTACGGTCATTTGATAGCATTAAATCTGTACTGGTTTCTACTTTATTTCAATGGGTAATCTCATAGTCGTATCAAGTATCTCATGTTTTCCCAGAAAATTGGTACTCTTCACATGTAAAATACTCAAAACTAAAGATTTTACTTTTTATTTGGTCAATCTGATTTGAATTTCTGATTTTCAATAATCAAATCAGATATATTCCAATTTTGCCCATAGCTTTAATAATTTTACGTATATTTATTCAAAACATCATACTCATCCGAGATAACCAGGAACTGAACATGATATGGTACTTTCTTCCTAACGCAATGCCGTTTGAATGCTCTAAAGAAAATTACTAAACATGGAGAAATAATTAAATGAATACAAAAATTTGACTACAAGGATGACTAATTTACTGAACAACCAGAAACCATATTGGCATTCTGTTAAGTAAACCTTTTACCTACACCATTACTGTTATATTTATGTTAATAACATTTTCCTTTAGCTCCAAGTTTTACATATGTCTGAGATGTGTTCAAATTATTTGGCTTTTATCTGGATATTTCATGAACATAACCATCATCACCTGTTGTCACTGGCAACAAAGTACTGTTAGCTATTTCAATCCTGGTTACCTCATGCAAACTAGTTGTATGCTTCTATCATTAGTGTCAATAATGTTAACAATCCAAAGAACAGTATTATGTGTAGTGATGATGATACCATTTGCAATGAGATTTGTTGATGTTTTTGTAGAAAATGATTATTTGAAAAAAATATGCCAAACCAATCCAGTTCACTGTTCAGAAATATGCTATTGTAATCTGCATTTGTAAAATTCAATCCTTAGTGAACAAATGTATAGTGTTTTGCAACAGTCCATGGACTTCTTGTTATCCTCAATTTAATAGAAACCCAATGAGCAAGCGTTATTGTCTGGTAGTGGGAAGTAGAATTATCAATAACTTGGTCTCGATTCTCTCTACAAGCCACTGCCAAGGTTAACTTTGCTTAAAAACAATTCCATGCCCTTGTTAATCATGTTATTTTCACAACTAAGAATTTAATCTGTATATTCAAAATATTCAGTTTCACTATACCAGATTCCTTTCATATTGTCTCTCACAAAATATCAAATATTTTAATTTGAATTAATCATTACTGCAAGACTAATTTCATGAAGAAATTGTTAAATAAAACAAAAAGGGTTATAGGTATGGAAATCATGATTTTATTAGACAACAGATATTGAAAAGTCAAGTCAGTTTTGATATGAAGTTTTTCATTTTAACAAATCCTGAATGCTAGAAAATAACCAGTCTTCATTATCCACCAAAACAGTTTCCATGGAGATATACATATTTAACAAAGAGGGCATGGAATTACAGTATATAAGCATATGATAATGCATTTTTTGACTTGTTTGTAAGTACCAAGACATGATATGTTATAATGTTCCATTGCCTGGGGATGATCACTTGTTTTGTAGTGAATTTGGCCTCTAGATGTTCAACAGTGTGTAATTAGACATTTATTATCTTCTATGCAATATAGATTTTATTTGAAACTGAAAGTCAGGCGAGAAATGTCAGGCATGTGTGTTGAGAAAGAGTTATCCTGCTTCATGTCAAGGGAGATCACTCTTGATCATGACATGAGTACCATATTTGTGTATATGTGAAATTTAGCGTGTTTTTCAACAAAACAGTTTTGCCTCTCGGGGATATATACTGTGCATGGGAGCAAGAAAGGACATGAAGGGTGATAACTCTGATAACTAAGGGGAGGTAACTACCTTGCCATGAAAGGGAAATAACTACCTGATTTTATGTTTGTTTTGTGCTGTGAGTTGTGAGTGGTTGCACAAATACTGGTTTGTATAGAAAATAAATGTATGCAAATCATTTCTTTCACTTGGTAAACATGCTTTTTCTTGTTGATTGTCATATGCAAAGTTTTCACAGAAAGCTGTTCATTTGGATGTCAAATGTTATTTTGTAGAGTTAGTTTTCCTAGATTTATTTTTGCTTTGATTGTCTCTCCTGAAATATATATTGATCTCTGGATTAATACTTGTAGTATTCTTCTTTCAGTAAGCATTCTTAATAGTTAAATTTGTTACTTCTCATCATCTTCAATTGTTGAAACAGACTGGATTTAATTGTTTTGAATATATGTACAAAAGTTTCTATGTATTTATCTTCTAGATTAAATATTTCTTCACAAATATAAATTTTTGACACCAAACTTGACACATTAATGTTCATCCCGACACATTTTCGGATAATACTTTAGATTTGGTCTCCACTAAATTGTTATTGAATATTTTTGCACAATTTAAGATCTCATGGGAAAAACCTGTTTGATTGGGTGAATGAGGCTTCAAAAATCTTCAGTATTTAAAGTGTTTTATTTTGTGGGGAAAAGTAATTGAACCCAAATTCTCATATTGATAAAATTCGGTGTTTTTAAATTGTTCTTCTACAGAGAACAATGTGAAAGATCATTTTTATATTGGAGAATAATAGCCATGAGTTTTTGAAATGAATGAAAATATGTCTCTTGATACTTTATTTTTAATACTGAATGTACAGTACAACATAACTACATTTTTACTGTATGTCTGTATTTTTTTTTTAATGGGAACATTGTCTTTCAAGAGAAAGGGATATTTCTTTATTTCTAAACCTATTAACAACCATATGAGAATAATCATAATAATAAAAGGAGATATATAAAAACTATTGCTGCCACAGGTGACAAAGAAAAACCATATTGAAAAGGAAGTAGTTAATTGTATTTTAAGGCCCATTACAAAAAGCCATGTATGCATCAAGAGAGATGACACAGTGATAATGTTCAATATTTATCAGAAGTATTCATGCTAACTTACTTTGCAAGCTATTCAAGTCTCACATTGAAATATGTTAATTTTCTTGCTTATACCTAAGATAAGGCCATTCCATTTCATTTTCTTGTTTAAGCAGCTTTTCAAATCCAAAGAGAAAAAATACAAATGTTGTCCGGAGGAATTTCTGTTTAAAAATACTTGAGTATTTAAGAAAGACAAAAACGTCATATTTTCTGTAGAATGCAGAATTCATGGTGTCTGTAATACACAGAAACTATATACTGTTCTGGATTTTATGAAAATAACAGTATTTATTGTCCTCAGGGCGATACCATTTTAAGGACACGATCCATCACTTAGTATTACGATGCTGAAACTGTTTTGTTGTCCTATAACTTAAACTGTTGTTTTACATACCAGTACTGAAACTAGTATTGAACTGTTCTGTCAGCATACTGAAACAGTTAACATACTGAATTTATACCATACAGGTAATTGTTTCCAAACACTAAAACAGTGATA